CTTTTAGAACCTTTGGGTACATTGGATTTGTTCATGCACTTGACTAGAAAAGAAGCAAGTTTGATGACAAAAGTACTAAATATGTGTTATTCGGTGTGAGTGAGGAGTTTAAGGCTTACAAACTTTATAATTCTGTCAATAAGTAGATTTATATAAGTAAAGATGTTAAATTTCAAGAGGATGTAACCTGGGAATGGGGTGAAGTTGAAACCAACAAAATGCATGATGCAAGTGATCCCTTAGAAAAGATTTGTCTTGCAGCTGAGAAAGTAATTCAGACAATGGTGCAACAACAACTAGTACAACAATATAAACTCATATAAGGGAGGACTAGAAAACCACTAGCATAGATGAGAGATTATGTCATTGGTGATGATTTAACAAATGAAGATGCTAAATTTTGCAATGTTAGCAAGTGTAAATCCAATACCATACAACCAAGTATAAAAAAGTCAGCATTGGAGAGATGCAATGGATGTTGAAATTCAAGCTATCTAAAGAAGTGATACATGAGAGCTAGTTGATCCACCATCAAGTTGCAAGATTGTAGGTGTCAAGTGGATGTTCAAGACTATGTTGAAGGAAACCAGGGAGATCGACAAATTTAAGGTTAGAATTGTATCAAAAGACTATATTCAAGAGGAAAGGATCAATTATAGAGAGATTTTTACTCTAGTAAATCGTCTAAAAACCATTAGGATTATTGTTACACTAGCAACCACAAAGAGATGGAGTATTTATAATCTTGATATTAAGTCAGTCATTCTACATGGGATAATAAATTAGAATGCCTATTTAAACAACCACTAGGCTAATTTTTTTCATAGCCGTGAACACAAGATATACAAACTAAAAAAATTATATATGGCCTTAAACAACTTATAAAACTTGGTATGACAATCTAGAGTTTTAACTTACAACAAATAATTTTATAAAGTGTCCACATGAACACACTTTGTTTGTAAAGAAGAAGGAGGGAGGTAAAATCTTAATTATGTGTGTTTATGTAGATGATTTGATATACACATGTAATCATGAATAATTTTTTCAAGAGTTTAAAACTATGACAATTAATGAGTTTTTCATGATTGAGTTAGGCAAGATGAGATATTTTATGGGCATTGAACTTTTGCAAAGTTGTGATGAAATTTTTATTGAGCAGAAGAAATATATCAAAGACATGTTAGATTAACATGCTTGACTGTAATATAGTGAATAATCTTATTGTTCTAGCAACTAAGTTGTTGAAAATAGACAAAAGGGCAAAAGTTGATAACACTTTATTTAAGCAACTTATAGGCAATCTTATGTATCTTATTGTTACAAAACCAAATATTGCATATTTTGTCAGCTTGATAAATCGTTTTATGAATCATCCTAATAACAATTATTTTTTGGTAACAAAACATATTTTGATATATTTATAAAGAATTCAAAATCTATGAATTTTCTACAAAGCACGGGGAATAAAAAATTACTTACTTATAATGATAGTAATTATGCATGAGATCTTGAAGATAGAAAAAACATATCTGATTATGGTTTCTTGATAAGAGAACATGTGATTTCTTAGCTATCAATCAAACAACTAGTGATCATCAATTTCTCCACATTGATCCATTTATCACAACTAAAAAATAGTTAACAACGGTTACTTTATATGTTTGTCCATCACTCATCAAAATTTTAGAACATCTAGAATATAGAAGGAACTATTGTAATGTTTTATGACAATGCTTTTACAGTCAAGTAAAATTCAGTCTTGTAATAGTGTTATTAACTTAGATTACTACGGTACTAGCATATTTAATAACAAAACCACTTAAAAAGTAATAATTTCCAGCATTGAAGATCCTAAGATAAATTGTTGCAAACAATATACAATTTAAAGGAGAAAATGTTAATTAGATCGAGTGTTTCTAGATTAAACAGTTTTATTCTTTACTTTTTTTTTGTTTTTTTAAATAAGTTGTTTTTTCTATTAGGAACGTTTAGGTGCTTTCTGATTTTATGTTCAAGATTATGTAATTGGTATGGATAATTGACTATTTTTTTAATTTATAACTAATATTACTAAACGTATAAACTTGTATAACATCATTGTAATTTTCTCAATTCTTAGAATAAGAAGTTAACAAATAGAGAAATTTAAATTCATATTGACATAAGTTTTGTTTTTATAACTTATAAGTAAAATTTTTATCATTTTCTATGATTATTATTATCGTTGATAATTGATATTAAAGATGATAAATTTTGTTGAAATTTTCTTTTGTACTAGTATTTAATTATTTGGTTATATATATATATATATATATATATATATATATATATATATATATATATATATATATATATATAAAGGAGTCTCCTATAACTTAGTATGATATATTGAAAGAAAACAATAATTATATAGGGGATATTAGGTGTAATTAGTAAGGAATAACAATAAAACAATAACTATGTAAGAGATATTTTAATTTTTGAAATTGAAAAGTTTATATTTTTAAGTTTTAGAAATTGAATTTAAAATACTAAAGTATGGGTTTTGAAGGATTAAAATAAGATTTTTAAAAAATTATTTAAATTTAATGTTTAAGAATGAAAGTCATATTTCACTAAGTAAAAAAAATATTTAAAAGATAAAAAAGAAATTATCTTAAATTTTAGAAAATAAAATTATAATTAATCTGGATATTTTTAATGTATTATATTTATAAAGTAAAACACTATAATTATCTACATGTAATGGATAGCAGAATCTGGTGTAAACATGACTTTATTTGAGTGCTCCTCAGATATTTTATAACTTTAACATGATATTTTCCGAGGTTATTATTATTATTATTATTATTATTATTATTATTATTATTATTATTATTATATTTATATTTAATCTAGCAAATATTTAATTTAAATTATACAATACAAAAATATAATTTAAAATTAATTATTTTAATTAAAATAAATAAAACATTTTTTTCTTAAACATTCAACTCCTATACATTTAAATAAAGAAGAGACTAATTTAAGAGTCAAGCATCTGTAATTAACGACGTTAGAAACAAGATATAGAATCTGCCAGAACATTGTGGAAACAAACGTAATCCATTGCGTATGTAATGCTTATCGTGCCGTGTCAGTGAACACCGCCATATACGTGGCAAAGATTTATTCGTTAAATTATTGATATTTTTGTCATTCAGTCATCACATCCAAGCTATAAATGCCACCCACCATCCTCCCCTTTGCATTCATCTTCTTTCCTTGGAATTCTCATTCTCATAAAACGAAATTGCCAATTTCGCAGATTCTTGATCTTTCTGTTTTCTTCCTCTCAAGGTACGTCTCTGATTTCTCTCCCTTTCTCATCTTAGGTTCAGTTTTGGATTTAGGTTGGGTCTATCTTAGGTTCAGTTTCGGATTTAGGTTAGGTCTTGGATAATTATCATAGTCTCGTAGTGATCTTCTGGTTTCTTTTAATTGTGTTCATAGAGCTGTCTTTGGATTCTGTGATCCAATTGTTGTATGCATTGGTAATATATCTGATTCGTTTGTTAGGATTTGTCGTTTATTTTCATTTTCTTTTTCGTTTTGGGGAATTAAGTTTTTTTTGTTTTGTTTTTGTGTTTATATTTTCGGGATTAGAGTCTGTTTCTTGGCTATAGTTCCTATATATGTATCTGTTTTTGAAGATTTAGTTTGTATTGAACAGATGCAGATCTTCGTGAAAACATTGACCGGCAAGACCATCACCCTTGAGGTGGAATCCTCTGACACCATTGATAATGTTAAGGCTAAGATCCAGGACAAAGAAGGTATTCCTCCGGATCAGCAGAGGCTGATTTTCGCTGGGAAACAACTTGAGGATGGAAGAACCCTGGCTGATTACAATATTCAGAAGGAGTCCACCCTCCACTTGGTGCTTCGTTTGAGAGGTGGCATGCAAATCTTTGTCAAGACTTTGACAGGGAAGACCATTACCTTGGAGGTGGAGAGTTCAGATACCATTGATAATGTGAAGGCCAAGATTCAGGATAAGGAGGGTATCCCCCCAGACCAGCAGAGGCTTATATTTGCCGGGAAACAACTTGAAGATGGAAGAACACTTGCCGATTATAATATCCAGAAAGAATCTACCCTGCACTTGGTTTTGCGGCTTCGCGGCGGAATGCAGATTTTTGTCAAGACGTTGACCGGAAAGACCATAACTTTGGAGGTTGAAAGCTCTGACACCATCGATAATGTGAAGGCAAAGATTCAGGATAAGGAAGGCATACCACCAGATCAGCAGAGGCTTATCTTTGCTGGGAAGCAGCTGGAAGATGGGCGTACTCTTGCTGATTATAATATTCAAAAGGAATCCACTCTTCATTTGGTGTTGCGCCTTCGAGGTGGCATGCAAATATTTGTGAAGACTCTGACAGGAAAGACAATTACCTTGGAGGTGGAAAGCTCTGATACAATTGATAATGTGAAAGCAAAGATTCAGGACAAGGAGGGCATCCCACCAGATCAGCAGAGGCTTATTTTTGCTGGGAAGCAATTGGAAGATGGTCGTACCTTGGCAGACTACAATATTCAGAAGGAATCCACCCTGCACCTTGTCCTTCGTCTTCGCGGTGGCTTCTAAGCATAATGTCTCTTATGTCCAACATATCGAACTCGTGTATTGTAGTTCTTGTTGTTTTCTATGCTTAAGACTATGTTTGTGTGTAATCCGTGCTATGCTCGATCTTTATTCAGGTAAAGAATGAAAAACCAGTATTATCGTTATCATTAATAATAAGTACCACCCTTGATTAAATCATTATCATTTCATGCAGTTTCACCCGAAAAATTTTAACACTTCATCCGCTTTGGTTGATGTTCTGAACTGACTGAAACAATGGCGACGGTTTAAACCATCGGCTATAATATAGTCCACACATAGCATGGCATTCTTCTCAAATGGAAACCCAAAGAGGAGACTGTAGACGGTAGAGAGTGAAATATTCCTTATGGAACAGAGGAAAATACTTAGTCTTATGCTGCACTCAATCCGTGATGCAGCAAGTAAGTTAATCATATCACACAGCATCCGAACCATAACAATTGTGGGTTATATGATTCAAGTGAAATTCCTGTCAGAATAAACAACTTCGTAAAAATTTGTAACATACTATAAAAACAAACGATCTTTACTTTAAAGTTTACCAACATTCATGTAGCTTATGTAGCGAAAACAAAAAACGAAACTTCAGTTATGGGAAGGCATTTTCAACTTCAGAAAAAATTATTGTCCATTTTCCTCAAAACTGCTTTTTACCTTAGAGGAATAATATGTTTATGTCACTGTAGCTTGTATTTGGATAACATCTTGAGTAAAATGCAACTAATTACTTCATGTAAATTTATTATGGAAGGTTTCCATTTGTCTAAATGGTATAAAATCAAATAATCAAAGTAAGTATATAAACTGTTCTTCTAATTATCATCTATTGTACAAGGTGTTATGGTAGTCTGCAGCAGAACCTATAATTTGTATTCAGTTACAGTTTATTTTTATTTTTATTTTTACCGAAATGGGACAACTTCTTTAATTTATACATATAAGTAAACTTTAAAAAAATTGATAAATAGTAAAATACGTTGTCAAATTATACATCGTACCACTTCTACTCATTGTATTATAATAATTACATTATATTATAATAATTAATAATTAATAATAATATTTTTATTATTAATAATATTAAAATTTAATAGTATTAGTAATTAAATGATATAATAAAAGTATACTAATTTAATTATTATATTTTAATAATAATTATTATCTAATAAAAATTATTTAAAATTATTATAACTTATAATAATTTTAATATATTTAATTATTTTCTATATTATATTATATTTTATATTAATAAAATTATATGTGACAGTTTAAAATATTGTTACTTTATATAAATACAATAAAAATAAAGAAAAAAATATAAAATACATTATGATCAAACTAAAATCTATATTATAAATCAAATCTAAAAATTTAAGATGATATATGAAAGAACATAATTATACTTAATAATGAAATAATAATTTTGAATATATTTATATTTATTAATATAATTAATAATAATTATTAATATTAATAATAATAATAAGATAATAATATTAATAATAATAATTATATTATTAATAATATTTTTATTTAGTATTGATAATAAAAAATAATTATTATTTTTAGTTATAATATAAATTTAAATATTATTATTATTAATTATAATATAATAATCATTATTAATATTAAAATAATATAATACTTATTAATTTTAATGATAATATAAAAATATATTATTATTAATTATAATAATATAATAAATAAAGACATATATATATAGAAGTTGTATTATATATTATTTATTTTTAAATTAAAAAATTATATTATGAAGTACATTTTTTTTATTTTAAAATAATATATCTATATTTATAGATTTTTTAAATTTATTCATCCACAATTTTTTTTTAAAATTACACCATTTCAATTAAAAATCCAAACAGTTTCAGAAACCTATACAACAATACTTCATTGATTGAAATCCTAAAACATAAGGCTTTTAAAGTGTATATGCATATATTGACCAGCCTTACAATTACAAATCAAAGATAGAACATTTTGTGCAAATTTATATGTATTCTTGTTGCAATTTAAGTGATTTGACGTCTTACATTCCACAAAAAATTATAAAACTGATTAATGAAAAATATTTATAATTTAGTTAAAGAATGATATCATATTCTTATAGATAAAATTAAAATAAGCTGGTATATATTATGGAAAATGGAAAAGTGATAAGACACACAAATCTATTTCTTTAAACACTTCTCATGTCATGAAAGTTTGTATGAGTTTAACCATTAAAGTCACAATTTCACACTCTATTACTTCATAATTCTCATCAGAAAACTGATATCTGAAGACCATCTGTGATCAATAACATCTTCCACTAAAAGGCAATTCATTTTCTGCATAATTCTAAATTCCGGCAGCTATATTTTTCTTTGCTCATAAGTTGAACTACACATTGCGGATAGAGTCCTATATATTTAGTCAGTTAAAAAAAGTCGAAGTTAAGGTTTCTTATTTAATATTCATATAAATCAGTTTCCAAATATTTATGATTCGTAAATATTCACTTGGGAAACCGAAGAGGTCATCAAACACAAGAATTCCACCTCTTGGAGACAGCCAAGTGAATATTCTCATAATATTCCTTCAAAACCACTGATTTATTTATCCATGAAGATTGATTTTCTCAACTAACTTTCTATAATCCACGCATATTTTGGAAATTGAAATAATATATTTAAGAAGAACCAACTTTCTCTAGCAGACGTTCTTCAATATATAGAAGACTTGAAGAATAAAATCTCTCTACGTACTTAAAAATTTGATTATTTGCCAGACATAGTATTACCATATTGATATACGATTACCATATATATATATATATATATATATATATATATATATATATATATATATATATATATATATATATATATATATATATAAGAAAACATGTTCATCCTTATCTGTTGGCGGGCAAGTCAGACGTGCTGAATTGCTTGCTTAATTCTTGACAATCATTCCCTTCAGCAGAAAGCAGGTCACACTCACTCTCCTGCTAAGTTGGCTGTGGTTATTGATGTTCAGAGAGGATGTTCTGAGCGTCTCCAATGATTGAGGAAACGGTTGCTTCTAGTACTGCCTTAAGAGAAGGATCCCTAGTTATGGCAGCACTAAGAACATCCACCAAGGGAAAGTTTTTCTCTGAGGGTAACCCCTCAGATTGTTGAGGGTAAGCATGCAATGAAAGAGGGGCAGTTTGAGAGTGGTTTGAAGAAATAGCACTTGCACTTGGGAATTTGAGGTAGTCCTTAGAGGGCTGGGTTAAGTCCAGTGTTACAGTGGGACATGATGATGCAGATGGATAGTGGGTAGAAGCAGATAGTGAAGAGAAGAGGTCAGAATTTGAAAACGTAGTGCCATGTGAACTAGTGGTTGAGCCAGAAAGAAACATGGTTAATGCTGCTGATGTTGTGCAAGCCATGGATCTAGCTGCTGGTGGAAGTGAATGATTATGATTCCCCTCATAGGTTGTGATCACAACACTTTCATCCTCAGCACACCTCTGAACCTGTTACCAAGTAAATGCCAACATATCTTAGGTAAACCTGCAAGACACTTTCATAGCATATGTGCACATCTTCACCAAAAAGTTTACCACAATGGAAAAGCAGGTACGATGCATGAACGGCAAATTTCTTCATACGTATGACAGCCAAATGAAGATGCTTTTCAGGGAATCTACACCCCTATGCAAGGTTAGTACTCACGCAAGAGTGTGATAATCTTCTCTTGAGTTTTTTTCTCTCCTAATACGTGGCTTTCCTTTGTTCTAACACTTGTTTCCTTGTGTTCTGGAAATAATTATCACATTATTTATAATTTTTAAAATTCTATGCTAGAACTTTCTTTCTCCCTCAATATATTTACACTTTCTGAAAAAGCAGAAAACCAAATATGAAAAATATTCATTTATTTGGTGTTTATCAATGGTAATTCCATTAATACAGGATATTATGTAAATATTATGAAAAAAAGTTACATTTGGAGTAACATAATCTTTTAATATATTTCCTCTTCCAGAATAAAACCCACAGCAAACAGGTTTACGAAAAAACAAAAATGAAATATTGCATTAACAACTCATAGTCCTTCCCTTTTGAAATGTTTCAAAATCTTAATTGGACAAAATTACGTTAATAAGTATGAATTCCTAGACAAAGGAAATATATTCAAAGCTTAGAATGAGTATTTTATGCTAATGAAAAAGTGTTTATATATGTGAATTAAACATAAAATATTATTACTACAATTTTTAAAACAAATAACTGTAGAAGATAATAATTTTTCTATGTAAGTTTTATGTTTTATATAGACACGCTACTTATTAAGAGACATAAATAAATAATAAAAAATATATAGCAAACGAGTAATATAAAAGTAATTTTTATGATAAAAGATATTTAATGAAAATATTTATTATATAATAAACAAATAATATAACAAAATAAAATATTATATAATAAATAAATAAAATAAAATTAGTTTACAATGATAACATATATTTAATGAAAATAAAAATATTAAAAGAGCTAATATCCAATTGAAACAACATCTATTTTTTAAGATATGCGTAATGTATATATGTAATGTACTTCTGTTCACCTTTTTATCCATAAAAATAATTATCAGCTGGACCGGTATTATTTAAACGTAAATTATCTATATAAAATAAAAGATATTAAATTATATATATATATATATTTTATGAGTTTATTGAAATTTATTATTATAAGATATTTATAGATTGTCAATTTAATTATTATTATTATAATTAATAAGTATAATGGTAGACAATCAATTTTATAAGATTTTAAATATTTTTAATTGATAATTTGTAAATTGTTTTATATATCAACTCTAAATAAAATATTAATATATTTTAATTATTGTTTGAATATATATATATATATATATATATATATAAATATATATAAAACATATATTTTATGACTCAATATTTATGTGAAATTTTGTTAATCGGTATTGGTTTCCAAATTTGATAAATTTTCATGTATCATATATATCAATTTTAAATGGACTTAACTTCTCTAGCTAAAATGAAAAAAAGTCTATTCTCACATCAATGTCATGATCTTGTCATAATTGAAGCAAAACTTGTTGTTACTACCAACTTTAAAATAACGAACATCAAGCTCATTATAAAGCTTAAAAAAATATCTAACAGACTTAGTTTATTGTTCACGAGATGATGTTGTTGATGATATTAAGACAATTCCTCAAAATTAAAAATACTAAAGAGTTTATGAGGTTAGTAGAAAAATACTCTTAAACAATTCATAATTTTTCTATTAGGACATTAATGAGTACTTTGATGATTTATGTATTATCCATGCGCATGTCATTTAAACAATAAATATTATTGGAAGATTTAACTTGGAAATGACTTAGAATGAGAATTTCCTAATATAATTTATTATGAACTCATTATCGTTTCCGTATGACTCATTTCAAATGAGTTATAATACCATAAAAGATAAATATAATATACATGAATTGTACAATATGTTAGTTTATGAAGAAACAAAACTTAAGAATCAAAGAAGTTACCTAATGTAAGTCAATAAGAGAATAAAGGAGTTGAAAAGATTTGTACAAAGAAACATGATAAACATAAATGACTACTATAGATTAATAAGATATCTATGAAAACTTAGAAGAAAATATCAAAGAACAATAATTGTCATTTTTGTGAGAAATCTAGACATTTATAGAAAGATTGTTTAAAACATAAGATTTGATTCCAAAAGAAAAATAAGTCTAATGCTCATGAATGTTTTAAATCAAATCTAGCTAAAGTTTCACATTATACATGATGGATTTAAATATGTATGACTTATGTTTCTAATACACTGTAAAGTTTCTTTACAATCCAAACCATAAGACAAAATGAAAAGTTTGTCTTCATGGGAATATAGTGATAACTTAAAGGAGACAATCACGACTTCCTTGAATCCTTGAGACTAAATATCATTAACATTTATTGGAAACTCTATGCATCTAGTTTATCTTAAAAATTTGGTTTCGTTATCCAAACTTTATGTTATTGACTTTACATCATAATGTTCACACTGAAGATAATATGATGAATGAACACTCCATTTTTTTGTGACATACACATTTGAGTCACATTTCTAGAGAAAAGATGCATAAATGAATAAAGACTGAAATCCTTTAAGATCTACATTTGCAAATCTAAATATTTGTATGGATTGAATAAAATGAAAATAATCAAAACATACAAAAATATGAGCTACAAGAAATAATCAACTTCTTGAAATTGTGCACACTAATATTTATGGATCTTTTTGTTACATCATTCAGAAAGGAAATATATTTTATTATCTTTATTGATGACTATTCATATTATGGTTATATTTATTTACTACATAAATTTCAAGCGATTTATTTAAATGAAGTAAAGTCAATTAGAGGTCATGAGTATTATAAAAGGTATAATGAGACTTGACACACTCGAGGTACATTGCATACATTCCTTAAAAAATATGTTATTTGTGCCCATTACACAATATCGCTTACATTATAATAAAATGACGTATCAAAAAGACATATAATAAAATATTAACCAATATGGTTAAGAATATGTTAAACAATTATTCTTTAACCATACATTTATGGATGTATGCCTTAAAAATTATCATGTATTTGTGTAATAAGGTTCCTAGTAAGGTAGTTTCAAAAATACATTTTGAACTTTAGACTAGTAGGACATCCAATACAAGGCACCTACATGTTTGGGGTTGCTAACTAGAAATATAGATTTATAATCCACAAGAAATGAAATTAAATGTAACAACAATAGGTGGATACTTTATTGATTATTCAAAAAAGTCAAAGGGTATATATTTTATGGTCCTAATATAGTATGAGAATTGTTGAAACTGAAAATCTAATGTTCATTGAAAATGGTGAAACTAATAGGAGTTTGATTCCACGATAAGTGGAAATTAAAGAAGTTAGAGTAAAAATTCCTTTAAGTTATGCCTCTATTAGTAAAGTAGGAGTTTATCCAATTGTTATATCAAACAATAATGAAAAAGAACAACAAAATGATGAATCCATAATTCAAAATGACTTATTGTAGAAGAACCACAAGAAAATGTATTAAGGAGGTTTTAAAGGAAAAAAAAAAAGATCAATTATTTTGAACGATTATATGATATATTTACATAAGTCAAAACTAGCTTGAGCATTAATGTTGATGATCTATGGAACAAGAGTTAAAGTCCATGGAACATAATTATATTTGAGACGTTGTAAAGAATGTTAAAAGGTTGTAAGAGAGTTAGTTAAAAGTAAGTATTTAAAACTAAGTGTGACTCTTATAGTAATCTTGAACGTTACAAGACCATACTTGTTGTTAAGATATTTACTTAAAAAGACGGTATTGATTATAAAAAGACTTTTTTTGTGAATCTCACAAAAAATTTCTTCAAAATTATCATGACATTCTTAACACATTATGACTTGAAGTTACATTAGATATATCTTAAAAATGTCTTTCTTAAAAACTTAGAGAAGAATATTTACATGGACCAACCAATGGGTTTCTCACTTGAAGAAAATTAACACATGGTGTGCAAATTAAAAAAATTAAGCAAACTTCTCGTCCATGATATTTGAAATTTAATGATGTCATTGTTTCCTTTAAGTTTAAGAAAAACATTATTAATAGATGTATATATCTAAATGTTAGTAGGATTAAGATTATATTTATAATCTTTATATGTTGATTATATATTTCTTCAATTAATGATTTTAGTTGTTTTCATGAGACTAAAAAGTTTCTCTTTAATAACTTTAAAATGAAAGATATGGACCTTATGTGATAGAAATATAAATATTATAAACTAAATCAGAAGGAATGTTATATACTACAAAAAAAATGACTATTATCTACTAAATATTACCTACGAAAAAAAATCCGTAGGTAAAATAAACATTACCTACAAAATTTTATCCGTATATAAATTATCTATTATCTACAAAATTTACCTACGAATGAGATGATTATGCATTACCTATGAATGTAGGAGGTAGGTAATGTTTTTTACTACTTTACCTACTCATTTACCTACGGATGTTAAATAAATAAAAATAAAAAACCCTCACTCGAACCTACATTTTCACACTTCCTCGCGCCTCACTCAAGCTCCCTAACTCCTTCCTTCCTCTCCCTCAATTTCACTAACCTCCTTTATAACCCGCCACCCACCTCCTTCACCATAACCCTAGCTGCAGACTCCCCACTCTCGAGCACTGTTAAGGAGCTAATTGAGTATAAATTTCATTAAGAAACTCACCTTTATTAGACAACATTTGCATCTTTTTGTTGTAATCTTAACCTTAAAGAGTATAAAAATTATGAGAAGATTTTATCAAGTAATTATTCTCCCAAGTTGTTCTTTGATTCAGGATTTGAAGGAAGAGGAGGAGAAATTTTGGAGGAAGAAAATCCGCCCAGCGCATTTATAATGCGCCCAGCGGATTTTGGCTGAAACCCAATCCGCCCAGTGCATTTATAAGGCGCCCAGCGGATTTCCCTGAACGAAGTGGGTGCACGCAGGGCTCAATCCGCCCAGCGGATTTTCCTCTTCTTAGACCTAATTTCTATTTAAGAAATGAAAGAACAGAGAGAAAAGGGAGGGCTTGCGCAGGGAGAAAGAAAGAAAGGCGATTTAGACCTAAAGGAGCTCGTGGGAACACATATCAACTTGAATCCAATAAGTTTTGTTGTAATTTCTTCTCCTTCTTCTCTTGCTTTATAATGGGTTCCTCCATGATGATCTAAAACTCTTTGGTTGGATTGCATGTAACTACTTTCAGACTATTTCTCCATATATATGATTTTTGTTTGCTACAGTTGTGTTTGATTCTATTCTTAATGCTTTCTTCAGAGTGATCAACCGATTTAAGATCTTAGGGTTTTGATTATGTTGGAAAATGTTTTCATTAATTGGAAATGGATCAAATGCTTAATAGACAACCTCTCTAGGAATAGAAGTGTGTTTATTAATCACATTAATCTTAAGATTTATTCGTAAGGCAGAGTGTTGAGTTTGAACTGTTGAGGAATCACATTCATGGTTAACACCCTAGGACTTGGTTTTGAGGAATCGGGCCAAGTTATATACTGAGAGTGAAATTGTAAAACAGAAATCATATGGTTGGGAAATAGGGCTGGAAGCAAGTGCATGTAATTTAATCTGCTTTATTTATAATCACTTTTCGTTATATACCAAAAATTGCGATTATTTTAGTAGTTTGCCTTAAACAATACTTTCAATCCATGATGACAATCATATCTTATCTGCAATATTACTAAGTCACAAATCCCTATGGACGATAACTCTTTACTACATCGAAACTTGGTACACTTGCCGGGTAATTTGAATCCATGAGTGAAAATATTAACAAGCACCCCACACGGTACCCTCATTTGAACCCATATACCCAACCCTATTCTCCTCCACCACCAGGCTTCTTCCCCGTCACCACCACAACCATACCCGTGCCCTACTTCCACCTTCACTCACCAAAGCTTCTCACCAACGCAGAACCATCCCGTGGTCGCGCCACATCTCAGCTTCCAGCATCCAGATTCTCGCCCAATCACCCTCATCGGAACCGCCACGTCTCATGACCGCAGACCCCCCTTTTCGCAGAAACCCTATCTTTGCGGCCTCCACCACCATCTTCACGATGCACCGCCACTGTGAGGTCGTCGTCCCCTTCGTCGAGCCACTGCGAGGCCAAGTCGCAGTCGCGACCTCAACCTAATCCAACCTCCATCAAAGCCCCTCGTCAGTCGCGACAACCACCACCATCGAGCGTCCCAACCTTCACTCCTCACCACTAACGTCTCCACTCTGCTCCACTTCCCTCACCCTGTGTTGAATCTCTCCCTTCGCCCAAACCATCGCGCACCATTGCCCATAGCCGGCCACCGCGAACCCAACCGCAAATCAACCTCCAGGTCACCACGCCACCACACCCCCTGTCGTGCCCCATCACGAGCATCCCTGCAACCTGGAACTTGAGTCACCTCGACGCCGGCTGCAGTCACCGCCTCTCCTCGCTCCAGCCCACCCCTATTGTGCCACTGAGCTCGCTGTGAGCTAGAGGCGAGATATAGAGGCAGCGGGTTAAGTTTGGTATTATGCTTTAATCCTATTTCTTTCACATTTTTTGGAGTCTGAACTGTTCTGCTTAGTTAACTATTATGCCTGGGTCTGGTTTATTTGCATATGAATCATTGAATTGGTGACTCTGTTAGTTGAATAAGATCTTGGTTTATTAAGGTTTTTTGTACCGTTATTTCTGTTTAGTTTGTCTTAAATATGTGGTTTTTACTTGGTGAGGTTGAGACTGGTGTTATCCAAGTCCTATTGGCTTGGTTGATGTCTCTGTGGTTTAGTTTCTTGGCGGGTGAGTTAAGAATGTGTTTCCACCTTGCAAATGCTTCATAATCATGACCCCAAAAAACTTACATTATGGCCATATAAAATCCATTTAGGATTAGTTTTAGCAGTAAAACTTAGAAGATGTGATGAAGTAGAAAAGAAGATGATTTGTCGTTTTGGTCTATAGTGTGTTTGCATTAAGTTTCATAGGTATAAGTAATTATCTTTTCCTCAAGCATTAATTTCTTCTTTCAAAATTTAAAAGAAAAAGTGTCTCAAGAATTTTTAATCTGTTAAAAATTGTTTTAATCTATTAATTTGTTCTTAAGTACATTTTTAAATGATATATTTTTGAATTAATTTATTAATTTTACTTAAACAATCAAAGAACTTTATGATTCGCAGTTTTAATCAATTAAAGAAGATTTTAATATGCTAAAATGTTCTTGACTCGAGTTTTGAAAAATCAAGGTTCGTAGTTTTAATTGATACATAACTGGTGTTATCGGTTAAAACCTCTTTGGAAAATTTCCAAAGTTCTTGTAATTATCCGTTAAAGCCTTTGGAAAATGTTTAGAGTTCTTTTAATTAATTAAATAACATTTTTACCAGTAAAACGTCTATGAAAAATTGCCATAATCATTTTAATCGATTAAATTACTTTTTTATTAGTTAAATAAACTTAAACTTCGCTAAAAGCTAATCTTAGTTATTTTAATTGATTAAATAACGAATTAACTAATTAAATGTATCATTATACTCTATAATTTTTCTATATAAATAGATTCTTACTTTCATCTTAAAATATACTTTTGAGAAATCAATTAAACAATCTTTTGTGAATTATTCCAAGAAAGAAACGTGATATTTACCTTATAAATCTTTGAAAACTATTCTTGAGGTTTTTTGTCCATCTTCTTAAAGAAACTCAACTTATGACTGGATCGTTGCTTTAGCATATTCATTTTGATTATTATTGTTTCTTCAAGTATTTTAATTCCTCATTCTATTTCTTGTATTTATGGTGTCTGGAAGTGTGAACATTGGTTAAGGTAATTGGAATTGTGGTTGTTGGTGTAGGTTCAAGAATTAGGTTGTAGTTCTTGGAGTAAATTGTGATTCTAGTGTTGGTGTTTGTACTCAATTGAATTTGATTAGTAGAACTCAACTAGATGTAATTCTGTGGATTTGGTGAACGAGTATAAATTCTATTGTTCTTGTCCTTTTTATTATATTCTATATTATTGTTGTTTGATTTAAAATAAGATTGATTTTAGTAAAACTTTAAAATTGATAATTTGAATTTAAAAATGGCGAAAATCTTTCAAACAAATCAATTGAGTTTCCTCTTGATTTTAGTATGTATTTCTAAAAAGTTTTAAGTTTTATGTGATAAGTACGTTACTTGTTAAAAGAGATAAATAAATAAATAATAAGATTAAAGGGTAAATAAATAAAATAGCAATAATTTATAATTACATCAATTATTTGATAAAAATAACAGTTTTTAAAATAGTTAACATTTTCTTGAATGAAATAATATAGAAAAAAACACTACCAAAAAAAATCCTATTATCTATGACCAAAATTCATAGGTAATGACAAAAATTCGTAAGTAGTGTCATTTTATCTACAAATTGTTTTCTGTAGGAAATTCGGTCATAGGTCATTTACCTACGAAATTATTGTTCGTAGGTAATATCATCCGTGGGTAATTACCTATGGATTATAATCCGTAGGTAATGCACTCGCTTGATTTTTTTCCGTAGGAAATTCGGTCGTAGGTAATTTACCTACGGAATTATTGTCCGTATGTAATACCATCCGTGGGTAATTATCTACGGATTATAATCCGTAGGTAATGCACTCGCTTGAACAAAATATTCTTATTATTACCTAGAGTTCCCTCCCCTTTATATTATATTTTTATTATTTATTACAATTTTAGAACTTTAAAATATTATTTATATATTTAATGGTTAGAGTATCGATTTTCAACTCTAAGGTATAGAGTTTGAATCTTGTCAGTTATAATTTTTTTAATTTAATATAATTTACCTATGGATAGTAATTCCGTAGATAATTACCTATGGAATTACCCACGGACGACATTACCTACGGATCATATCCGTAGGTAATGGATAACTTACAATGATATAATTTACCTACGGATAGTAATTCGTAGGTAATTACCTACGAATTTTTATCCGTAAGTAATATCACGTATGTAGTGTACAATTTACCTATGAATTTTTATCCGTAAGTAATATTTTGTAAATAATAGGCTTTTTTTTTATATATAGTCAACGTTAAAAGAGTAAAATTTTCTTTAACTTAACTTATTTAATTATTTAAATAAATGAACACTCAATATCACTAACAAACACAACAAAGTATATGTATCTTTGTCGTCTAATTTGTATGATAATCATTTCAATTTAAAAATTTTATTTGATTTTTTTATTTTATATAATTGTTAAAAAAAATATTATAATTTTACATTTTATTCATATTATCTCTTTTTCAACTATTAGTTGATTACTTGGTTTTTCATATATTAAACATAGACTTGGTTGTGAACTTAATTACTAGGCATTGTTAACTTCTATATTTGAATATGTTAAAATGTAAAATAAAGCGTAGAAGTTAGGCACCGACCCAAGAATTGGAGGATTGTGGGGGGGGGGGGGTTCTAACATCAAATAAACAGAAATTAGGCATTAATGCATGAAATAAAGAAGAAAACACAGTACAATGCGAAGAAAACATGGAAGAAATGAAAAATGTGCACCGACCTGCTTGCGAACTGGACATGCCGTTCCCATGTTGCAACGATAGTAGGCCCGAGGACAAGGGTTACCCTTTGATATCTTCTGTCCATATTTTCTCCATTGACACCCATCGCCCTTCTCACAACAACATGCCAATCAATAAGCATTTCATATTTCATTTTTGTTGCTATATTACATGATTGTTGAGCTTTTGATGACGTTAATTTTGAATCACAAATGAAAACTAAGTCACCAACACTCATTCAATTCAGTAACTGAATTAATGTAATTGAGAGACAGTAGTAGATATCATGTTAAGAAAAATGAAGAATAGCTAAGGATGAATTAATTCACAAAATGATAGATATTATATAAAAACCAGTAGCAACCCAATATATGAAAGAAAAATCTACAAAAACAAGATAGAAATAGAAATACATACCAAAGATAACTCTGATCGTGCTCTTACGGACACTCTAGCTTTCTTGCAAGAAGCCTCAAAAGCCTGATCTTCTATGATTTTTGCTTCTTGTGGTGTTACTTGGTTATTCATTTTACCTTCAACATTGTAATGTTTATACATGTCAGGTTTCTGCCTATGTTTTTTTCAACACACGTAAAAAATGCTGAAGGGTACTTTACCAGTATGTAAGAACTGCCAGGATGGTAAAACTGATTTCTTCACCTCATCTTGCCTGCTATCCTTCTAGAGACATACCAGAACATGATTTATTCATTTAATTAACTTGTTCTAAAAAGAGTTAGAAGAGTATATATAAAGTTTATTCAACTATATATATAGGTATCCTATTAATATTGTAGATTAAAGATCGATTATACATGTGATGTTAAGAATTGAAAAGAAGAAGAGATTAATTTTTGTTCCCTATATATCATTTTGCTGCTGCTATTCTCGGTAGTCGTGAGGTTGAGTAAGTAAACAGTGATGTAATTAGTTTTCATAGCAAGTGCAATAGAACAAAAATGAATTGTTAGTCAAATAAGCATATATAAAACAATTCTTAGTCAAACTTGCCTGCATGTCGTCATTATTTCCAGGTAATAATGAAGATAGTTTCTTTTGCTGCATCGCCAACAATAACTTACTCTGAAGAGCAGCGTAGTGTTCAGTAATCTCATTAAACATGGACCTTAAATTTTGATTCTCTTTCTTCAACTCCTCTAGCTCAATTTGCAACAAGGCCAACTAAAATTTAGTCACAGAAAAGACCCAACAAAAGTGGCATCAGGCAAAAAAATTTATGCAGGTAAATAGGTTTGTGTAGATCAATTTAACTGTCAAAGATTACCCACTTGGTTCAGGGGCTGTTGCTCATGACTTTGGGGAGGCTCCAAGTTATTAAGACTCAAACTGAGAAGAGTATATCCCAGCTGCATAATTCACAAACATGTACTTGTAATAATTGAACTTTCAAAACAAATTATTAGCTCATCTAAAACATTGATGTCATGGATATAAACAAAACAGGAAAAAAAAAAATGAACTTACAGTATTTCGTATGGACGGTTCCTGAGTCCAGTTCAGTGCATCTGTATTACTAACACAAGCCTTTTCCTGAACTTCCAGCAATTTTTTCAGTGCAACTTTGCCCTCCATTTATATAGACTCTATATGGCAGTGACAGTTGAGATGGTGTGCTATCAGATATGCATATACAGCTGCTGTTCTGGGGTTGTTATGGTTTCTCACTTCCAGGTCAGACTTCAGATCACTATGTTGGAATCTAAGTTATGAAGCAAAACCAAATATATAAATGTGTGTGTAGTGGAAGCAACCTTATATATGTATATATATAAACTAAGACTCACTCTCCTGGTCGCAGTAGTCTTTGTTAAGTATAAAGTCTGCTTGTTATCAAAGAATTTTTCCACGTACAATATACAAAGTGACCTTGTCTAAGTGGGGGGGAGAAAAGATAGTGACCAGATGGGGGAGAAGCTAGCAAGAAATATGGTTTTGTATATAAAATTTTGTAATAACTATATCTTAAAAATATTATCTCTAAGATGATTTCTTTTATTTTGTTTTACAATGAAAATTAAATTTATCATTTTTTTTATAAAATAAAAAGGTTAAAGATAACCCTTCCAAAAACTTGGTGAGAAAATGAGAGCTAGCTGGTCAAAAGAGTTGTGACATTTATATTACGATTCATTAAATAAATCAATATTTTCTGTGTCAATGGACTAGGCGAGTATTATTTGGCATGCCAGTGGATTTCTTGCTAAGTTTCTTGTTCCCATGTGTTCACAAGTCTTATTTTGTTTGTTGTTGTTGGTTGGGCAATTACTGGAGAAGAGAAATTGTAGGAGGTATTCATGTCACCTGCTGAAATATATATGATCTATAAACATTACTTTAATCGAAAATCTTTATATAATCTTTTTTATTTGTGTATTTAACATTGAGACTCTTAAGAAAATAATATAATTTGAGAAGAAAAAAAATCATATTGTGTGTTGTTTGATTTGTGATTAGTGGGGGAATGGCTGAAATCCTGGTCTAATTAAAACGCGTTCCCTTCATTTGTGTTAATTAGAAGATTGATATTTGTGTGATTGGTTGAGTCATTAAATTGAATGTATTTAAGGAATGTAAAGTGTAGTAATGTAAGTCAACTAAAGAAGCACCCTCCCCCATGAAAGGGGAACATTATGAGGTGGTTTCCTTGATATAGGGAAAAGAAAAAATGCAATCTTTGCTAATAAACACCCTAATAAATATTATTGTTTATTTGGTTTTAAATCATTATAATATTTATTTATTTAATAATAATAAATATGTATATTTTTCATGTATATCAAAGTCGTATTATATTATCTTGTTAGTGGTTGTGTGGTGTTTAAGTATAGAATTGGAGTTTATAAACATTTTTCAATTTCTAAATCCATGCTCATATGTGTCTTATAATATCAAAAGCAATATTAAGTAAAAAAAGTGTTTTTTTTAAATAATTAAAAAAACATAGAAAAAAAAACTCAATAATAGTTCCATTATTTTGTGATGATAGAATCATGTTTTTATTTTTAAACGTATGTTTGATTTAAAAAAAAAAAATGAAAGAACGAGGAAGAAAAAAATAGAGATAAATATATTATTCAGGGAAAAATAATATGAAAAAGGATTTTCTTAAAACAATAATATAAATAATAAAAAATAAAAGTTTAGACAATTATAAATTGGAGAAAATTAAAAGAACGATATTTTTTAAAATAGACTTTTTTTTATATTTTCATTATTTTATTTGTACTTATAATTAAAAACAAAATCTATATAAGTTAATAAAAATGATATTTGTATCTTTATTTGTTTAAACAAAAAGAGAAATATTATTTTATGTTTTATATGTTAATTGGAAAGTGGATTTGAAAAAATAAAAAAGAAATTAAATGAAAAGAAAGACAATAAAAAAGTGTCAGAGAAAGAAAATATAAATTAGTGAAAATAAATTTAAAAAGAATTCATAATTTTATTTATTAATTTAATATTATTTTAAAATTATTTATTATTATTATAATATATTTTTAATAAAAAAATTATTTTAATTGTTACATAATTAATTCTATCATATATATATATATATATATATATCATTAATTATATTATAAATTTAACCTATTTGCAATTTTTTTAAAAGAGATATAAACTTAAGTTGAATCGTATTACAAACTCAATTCAGGTGAATTATACTCGTAGTATAACTTGCGACTTCATCTCACTTTTGTTTTTTTTTCCTTTTTACAAGGAACTTTCATCTAACTTTACTTTGATACGTTACTTTTGATGAAACAGCCACTAAGAAATGGATTCTATCCCTTTCATTTCATCATTTTTTGTTGTGATACATGGAGTCCAACTGTTTATGGGGTCATTTCAATTTTGAATGTCCTTCACGTCCAGTATCACAAACTAAGTCATAAATATTTATTCACCAAATATCTATTTATTATATATGTAAATATTATGCCGTTTTATTTATTTCTTAAAAAAAAATAGACCAATAAATCTAAGATGCTAAATCAATAAAGATAATTTATTTTTAAATAATATAAATTAATAATAATTTATATTATATATATATATATATATATATATAAATATAAATATTAATGACCAACGAATTTAAATATATAAATTAGATGATAAAAAAATAAACAATTTTTTAATTTTTTAATTTAAAAATATACACGATTCCGTGACATCATCCCAAATAATGTCGTTATCAATAGACGAGCGTACAGTTGTTTATACATATGATTGGATAAGAAGGGAAGAAAGGCTGAAACTTCCTTTCAAAATGGTACTGTTCAAACTTCAAATATCAGCCAATGTTTTCTTCACCATTTTCAAACTTTTAAAATTAAGAAGAAAAGATAATAATAATAATTTGGGGTTGTTTCGACCATATTTATATATCTTAATGTAGAAGACGTTTATTATATATGACGCTTTACGAGGTAACTTGTGAAGATTAATGATTCTACCACAGCTTGAATCTTGAAATACATAAATAATAGGGAGAGCTCTAAAGAAGACTTGGAAAATCATTGTTTGCGCGTTGTGTTGTCTGTCCCGTGTTTGATGAAAATTTTGACTACCAAAGTTTTGAATCACTTTGGCCTCACTCATAACATAACCATCACCACCACCAAGGGAAAAACTTTTCAACTAACAAAAGAAGAGTCTTCCCTCTCTATTTTCTATTTTAATGTCATAGAAGAATCCAAAGGTATACAAAATATATAACGCCTAAAACTTGATGCAAAGAATTCTAAGGAATAGTATGAAAGAAACAAAGCAGAAGAGGAAATGTTGGTCCAAGGTCTGAGCTAGGACCAGAGTGCTGAGGTTGTGGTGTTGGCTTGTAGTGTGGGGCATTGCATTATTGGGTTTACTCCTTCAAAATGGAAAGGACAAAAAACGTAGACTTGCTTCAAAGTCATACATACATCCAATCCAACCTAAAAGAAGAAGGTGGTAAAGAAAAGCGGCGCTAGCCACCACCTTCACACTCACACAAGACCAATTCAACCATAAATATCTTGACCGCATAATAGCAAAACACAACAAAAAAGTGGTCCAGCTTTAGTTTCAGGAAAACTGATTTATGATTTTTGCTAATTTTCTTCACTGAATTGACCTGCCAAACACCGCAATAATCGCTCAACATTTCCTTCCATCAACTTCTCTACAAACTCTATCCATCATTGCCCTGACTTTTTATCTCATTTTTTTCATCTCTGTCAACTTTTGTTTCTTAGTCTAACCCTGTTAGGCTATTCAACATTTGCTTCTGCTCTGTCTAACAAGGTGACACATGTGTCTCAGTAAATTCACCTAGTAACTCTGTGTAGCAACTTCATAGAGTTAGGAAGAACCATAAAAAACTTTGGGTTCTTAAAAATGTACAAAAGAAAAATAGTACTCTACAAAGAAAGTCCCAGGATAAATCAAATGTTTAATTTTTTTTGTTTAAAATCGAACTGTTTAAAAAAAATTAAAGACCGATAAAAAAAATTAAATGGATTAAAATTGAATCATCTTTACATTTATATTTTTTTATACCGTTGAGTTTAGTTCGGATTTTGAATTAAAAGTTATATCAAAACTTGTTTAGAATGAAGTATTATGATTATATATATCCGAAGGATTGTTTTAGTTTCATTCTATTTTATTTTAATTATAAGATTGTATAATTTATTTATAAATATAAAAGAATTTTTATCATGAATATAATAACGATGATTATAAATATATTTCTTTTTTTAAGATTTTTTATTATAAAATATTTAAATCAAATTGTTTGATTTAGTTGAAATTTCATATAAAATAAAGTCAAATCAAATTAAAATATAATTGATTTTTTTTTAATGTTTATTTCGGATGATTAATTAGTCAAAAATCAAATCGCAAACACCTCCTACTAATAAATACAGTACAAAATTTGTTGTATTTATAAGTATGTTTTCTAATAAAATCTTTGTAAAATTAAAATGCAAAATGAATTAATTTTTTTTTCTTTTTGAGTTAAAAATAACAAATGCAATTTGTAGAGAAAACAAATGAGAGAGTTGGCGTCAAGGATTAGGGTTTAGTTTAATTTTCATCGCATGATAAGGCATTGGATAGAACATTGTGTTTCCTAGTTTCATTTCTTAATTAATTGTTGTTGTAAAAGTGGTTACAAGAAGAGAGAAATTAGGTGTTATTTGTTCATTTGGACTACACCCCTTGTTGACCTAGAGGCATTAGTTCAAGTGTGAAAGGAATAGAGAAAATAGGTAAAGCCAAAATTTGAATCTCCACCAGTTGAAACTTAAACACATAACAAAACCTCAATCCTTTTTAACATTACAAACTAACTCTTTTACTCTTTCTATCACTTAGAAAGAGATGCTAGTTTCTTCCTTCTATAACAAGTTTAAGCATCATTATGATCATGTTTCGTCTTATACAACATTTGTGCAACATCTGGAACAAATGTCTTCTTGAGAAAATTTTCTGTTTGCATCTTCCGAACACGCATGTAACTTCTAATCTTGTTATTATTTGATAATTTTCCATTCTAATTTCATCTTATCATGCTTCTGATTTTATGCAACTACTAAAATTATTTCACTTTGATCTTCTATCAACATGTTCAATCTATATATGATTATGGAAGTCGTAACTTTGGTATCGTTGTTTTTGGAGTGGAGACTTTAACTTTTTTAAACTTCTGGACCCTTGGATTCATAGGAATGATATTTCCTAAACTTGATTCATGACTTTGGTTTCCCATAAGATGACAAGCCTTGTTCTTTGATTTCATTCCCAAGGAAAATCGTTAATAACATGATTTCATAATACTTAGAATTTGTCTATATGATAGTGATAGGGAAGGGTTTCATTGAATTCAAAGGTCAAAAAGGCCTTTGAGAATTGTAAATGGAAAGGAATCGAGAACATTCTCTCAGCTATATGTTGTTGGGCCTGCATCCCTTGGACTCCTTGTTGGACAATATCATATGCTTAGTGCTTACTATGATCCTACTCCCATTTCTTTGTTTTACCCTTTTTTTAGACAAATACCACTTAAAAATTTAAAAGCATACAAAAGACTGAAGCTAAGACAAAAGAATGGTTAATCAAGTTCAACACTCTGTTTTACTCATCTTAACAGAGATCTTATCCTACAGAAAACATTTGTTTCAATTTTTTATTCTGTATTTACAGATCATGAAAACGTAGTTCAAGAAATCTAAAAGCTTGACGTCATCAACCAACATCAACAACAATACCATGATAAATAAGTAAAGAATGATTAGACAATATCCTGAAAGTAAAATCAATTCACATTAATATAATCATTATCCAATGCAATCCAAATTGTAGCATATAGCTGTACTCAAATGAACTCAATCCACTGCCAACAATTTAAACGAAGGAAATCCTTGCTAACCACTTGGCATAAATTGTGAAAAATGACAGATCTAATACATTTGGAATTTTGTCTTTGTTTTCTCAAAGACCTCTTCAGCAATGATGGCCTCATTCCCATCAGCTCTTTTGATTTCCAATGTTGCTTTCTGATAGAATCCAGTACCTCGCAGTGCATCTGCAATAAAATCATCGAACCCAATAGCAATTGCTGCCTCAGCTTTTGCTCCATAAACTAGCCTCTGTTACAAAACAATGTCGTAGTGAGTTAGCTCCAAACATGATAAATGTTGTATAAATTTCAATTTCCAACCTTAATTCGGGAAAGGTGGATTGCACCAAAGCACATGGGGCAAGGTTCACAGGAAGTAAATATTTCACAGTCTGAAAGTTCTATCTGGTTAAGCTTCTTACATGCCTGTAAAATGAAAACATTGCATTTGTTAGTTTTTGTTTATCATCCATTGCAAAATGTTACATTTCAGTTGTTTCGGAAGTTAAAGCCTTAACCGGCCTCTCCAAAATCTAAATAGCGTATGTATAAAATGTAAGCTACTCAAATCTTTAGATATCATATTAACAAGTATTCAACCACTTTCCAGTAGGTGTTCAATGAAACTAGGAACAAGATAATGATTATGTTCTACATGTATCAGATCTCAAAACTAGTTGTTTAGAGCACACTATGTCAACCTCTTATTCTATTTTATTTTAATTGCATTGATGGAACTGAACATTAGTCCAAAACCCTATTTGACAACTGGAAAATACAAATCGATCATTCTACACCCAAGCATGTTGTCTTAAAAATAATCTAAACGAGTGCTTAATAATTGCCCCCAATGAGCTAAAACCAACGGAGGAGGCCAAAGTTTGGGCCGTATATATCTATAGAAATCTTATCTGTTATGATGATGATTATCTTTTCAAGTTTCAACCATTCCGATCAAAGCTTGTAAATTCTTAATCAGTAGATTCCTTTGGTCAAAATCTTGAATATCCACCAACAAACAATAACATTGCATTCAAAAACATGAGAAATATACTCTTGACTAACGCATTCTTTATTAATTATAAGTAGTCCATTGTTTTAAAAAGTGATATATGTCAGACAACAACATTGACACTGAAAAATAAACCAATAATAGACCAACACATTGCTCTAGAATTCATTGGGCTGGGAATATACATCATGTGCAGTGATTAATGCTATATGAGTCAGAAAAACAACAAAACCATTACTTGCTAATAAAATATGTATTCAAAATCCAACCTCTCTTATTGCTGTCACCTCAGCATGAGCAGTTGGGTCTGTGTTACTCAGAACCATGTTGTGGCAACTAGCAACTATTTCATCCTCTCGAACTATAACAGCACCAAATGGGCCTCCATCTTTGCGCTCTACGCCATTATATGCTTCTTCAACAGCTATTCTTAGATATTTGTGGTCTGTATCCTGCACAACTAATTAAGCAACCACCATTCCAGAAGAAAAACAATAAAAAACTAGTACAATATCAAGCAAAACAAAACTCCAAATGACTTTTTTCCTTTTTTTTGAAAAAAAAGTTAACATTGATTTACATGCATAGACTTTGATGGATTAGATATATAATATATCATTTGTTTTCAAGTCTAATGTTTGCCCCTGTGAATACCAAATTCAGGTTTCTTTTTATTGAATGAAATGACAAGAGGCATTAAATATAAATGCATCAATAAATCTAATCTATGCAAGAGAGTTACCTTCCTGGTGACCAGCAAACGTAGAAGCTACTGAGACAGTCCCATCCTTAGTTTCCACAACTGAAAGAAAACAAAAATAAACACATACAAGAAAATATACAATGCTTGTCCTGTTGTTCAATTGGGTAGGGAATTTCAAATTTAAAGGATGCATATAATCAATCCTATGAAACTTCATATTTCCCTGGTGACTTTATACACTTGATTACTTCTAATACAAGTCCCAAAAGGTTTCTACTCTATGCAAATATCCAAAATGAAGAATGCACAAATTGCACAAAGATTCAAAAAATCAATGCAAGCACAAAACCATGTAAAGGGTCAGCAAGAAAATCCATAATCGTAGAAACCCCACACCCTCCAAAAAAAAAAGGAATCTGGGAAAACTAATTCATGTACTTGACATAAAAAAGAGTAAAAGAAAAAATGAGAATTGTAAAGAAACAAGGTATATACCGTCAAATTCCTCCATGACAGGAGCGGTCGATTGAGGAAGAACTTGTCGGAGAAACGAAAAAATTGTTGTGTTTGATGGAGAGGAAGAATGGTAACCGTGAAAACGGTAAATATGCTGTGTACATAAATACAACAGAGGACATGTGAAATTTATGCAACTGTTATGATTAATTCATTCACTCAAAAAATAACAACAAATATGGTAATCTCTACGGCACCATGATTTGGTGGCATCGTATTAATAATGAAATATTGAAACAAAGGAAGATTAATGAATGCAATATGATGTGATTGATTCTTGCTGATTTAGTAAAAATAATTTCCCAAGTTTCTAACAACTCTAACGAATCACGTGATCACATTGGATTAAATTTTAAATACATTCTATATAAAGTACGTGAATTATTTTTTCTAAACATGGACAGTAATATTTTTATTTTTTTAAAACCTTCTTATTACTCATATCCTTAATTTTAATTATTTACCATAAATAAATTCATCAGATAAAATTATAACAAGTATATTTAATTTTTAGTTAATATAGATTAATAATAACAGTCATACATTTAAATATAATTAAATGTTGACTTGAAAGTAAAATTATATCTAATAATATATTAATTTCAAGAGTAAATTATAATCAACTTCCATTAGATAGATATATGAAATGAAACCGAATGAAAAGATGATTTCTAAAACACTATGATATTGTTATGTATAGAAAAATCAATTTGAATTAATATTTATTTAATTGTATTTAATTTCTTTGATAATAATAATAATAATAATAATAATAATAATAATAATAATTCCTTTAACCTTATTCCAATATCATCAAATATTTTACCATCTACAGAGGCATTTCAACAAATATTTTACAAATAAAAATAAAGATTTTTAAAATTTGTCAAATAAAATTTCATACCACCACACATGTTTCTACTCTTCTTCTTTTTTTTTTTTTTAAATTGTGTCATTAATTTGTTATATGAGTTAATCAAATTTAATAGAATTAATAAAATATTAAATATCATTTTAACAACAAAAATCTTTTTTAACGATATTTAACTAATAAAAGGTATTTATAATAAATTTATATTAGGAAGTTTCCTATATATTAAAAAAATAGAGAGGTATTATATGTCTGATAAGTTTATCTAAATGATTATAATATGAAATACTTTTTTTTTGTATTTAAAGTATTTCCAAAATTAAATTATTTTAAACATTTAATTTATTGATAGTATATGATTTGTCTAAACACAAAATTTCAAAACATACAATTCTTTTAATGATAAACATAATCATATTATTATACATCATGTCACAGTCATCATTATTTATTATATGATTTCAAAAGTTAATTTCTTACTATAACCAATTAATTAAATTTACTTAAAATTTCAATTTACAACAATTTATTCTTTTGCCTTGGGTTTGCTGGGGAAGACAAAAGAAGAAACTTAAAATTTTAATATTACATTTTAAATTTTTAAAATCAATTTTAGTACATATACTTCAAAAACATAAATTTTAGAATATACATCGAGAGAATTTTTTTAATATTTAGACTTTTATATATGTGCAAAATAAATTAATTTATTTTAACTACAAAAATTGTAATAAATTTTTTTTGCGGTTCTTTTATTTAAAATAACAATGAAATTAATCATTAAAAGAATAATAATAACTATGTTTTATGATTTAACAAATTTTTTTAATATTCTTTATTAACTAAATTAATATGCTAAAGGTTAATAAGAAAATGTCGGTAAATTGGTGCAATTTGTTTTATTTATTTTTAAAATGGTTAAATTTTTAAAAAAACTTTAGATATAAGTAAGTCATGATATATAATTTCACTGCGAAGAAATCGTGCATGAGTAAAATGACTTTGGTTGAAATTGTGCGCAGATAAATGACTCTTTCATGTAATAATTTTTTTAAGTTGTATTCTAATTAACTATTTTAGTATAATTTTTAAAAACTAAAAATCAATTATTGATAATTTTAATTCAATTTATTTTATAATGAAATTGTCAATTCATCAATAACTTTAATTCTATTTTTTAATATTAAAGTTGTTAATTGATTAATGTTCAAATATTTTAAAATTAATTTTTTATTTCTAAATTTTTATTTAATATTTAAAAATTAATAAAATAAATAAATAATTATTATTCAGTTGTTGATAATATTAGATAAATTTTAAATATATTAAATTGTTAAAAAAACATGGATATGTTAATGAGAAAAATATGCATCTATTGTATACAAAAATAAAATTTTATATTTTTATTGTCAAAATACACAATTATTACAATAATAATTTTTATTATTACAAAATGAACATTTTTTATTTATTTAAAATAAGTTCATCCATCTTATTATAAATACAAATTATTGTTGATTTGAATGCGAAACTTACCTATAACCAAGTTTTTTTTAATATTTAACCATTTTGAGAATAATAAAAACAAATTACTGAACATTGGAAATGGACCGAAAATGTCACTAAAACAATGAACTATACACAATAACAAAATATACTTAATTTGTGAAACTGATTAATAAAATATATTTACAAACAAAATAATTTTTTGTAAATATGTAATTAAATTTTAAAATATTCATTATATTTTCTGTCAAATAATAATTACGAATACAAGTATATAAATTATTTCACTCTATATATACATAAGCATTTTTTATTCTTATGAATCAAGACCTTAAAAATTATAGTATAGTGATTATAATTTTTATTTTAAAGAATAATAAAAGGATTGTAGAATACAGTGTAGTGGTTATTATTGATAAGATTATCTTTCTTAATTTATTTACAGCTAGAAAAAATAATTACTACCATAGAAATAATATTACAAAATTATTAATAGATATATATAATATTTTTTATAAAATAATATTTTTAATCTATTTCTTCAAAAATAGATAATTTTCATCATAATTTTTTTATATGTTGTAAAGTTTGAAAAAGATAATAATTAATATAGAGAAATGATTTTTTTAGATTCTTTTTAAATTAAAAATATTTTTAAAAATTGTGCTATATGTCTATCATAAAATTTAAGTATATGTTGATAAAATATTTACTTTGAGAAACATGAACATTGAAGTTTAAATAATTAAATATTTATATTCAATATTTTTTTATTCTATACTTCATTAAAATAACTTTAAAGTATTTTTAATTTCAACTCGTGAAAACTGAAATAAACAAAATTAATATGCGAAAAGGTAAATAAATAAAAAATGTCACTGGTATAAGATTGGTCAATTTATATATATATATATATATATATATATATATATATATATATATATATATATATATGATTATTAAAACTCATAGGTAAAAAAAATAATAATAAATAATTCATGGTTCTTATTCTTTTGAATAAATATTTTTTTTAAAATTAAACTAAGCTAAATATGCTAATGTCGTAAGCGTGGATCACTAATCCTGAAAAGCGATCATAATCGCTTTTGTTACCGAAGATTAGCAAATCGCAAGTGGCTTTTTTCAAAGATTATTTTATATTCTTGTACGGCTAATACTAATCCTACTTTCCCCTTTTCACACTCACAAACAATTACAAATACCTATAAATTATATTTAGGATAAGATATATGCTAGATTCTTCAATTTTCGATTAAAATAGGTCTTTTTTTCTACTTATTTTAATTTTAAAGAATCATTTTATAGTTGTGGTTGAATAAAATGGTTTGTCATAAGATTTGTATAGTATTTTTTAAAGATGTCTACTTAAATTCTGAACATGCCAATTAACCTTGTATCTAATTAATTAGAGATAATTTTAATTATTATATTTTTTATATAAAAATTTGACTTTAATAAACGAATTTAAATAGATAATTAAGTTTCATATAGAACAAGAAAATTTATCAATTATTAAAAATATAAAAAATAGATAATTATAGTATATATATTACCGACTTGGATAACTACTAATCTTTAGTTACCCATGAATTATAAGTTATCAATTTTAATGACCTCTCTACTTAATCATAGCTTCCTTCAAAGTAAAAGGATTAATAATGATATTGAGAGAGAGAAAATGAAGAGATTTAAAGAAAATATTACCTTGGTTAATAAACTTACACATGAGATGATTAATGGAAGAGAAAAAGGTATTATAAAAGTTGATATAAAAAAACATTATATCCGAATGAAGTGATGCAACAAAAGATATGATTAATGATTAGATCCGAGAGAGGAAGAACTTTAGCAATGATTAATAGAAGTGGCTTGTATTTGATGAAGTTGAATGAATGTGGTAGGAGATCTACATGTACCAACTGTGTCTTCATTTCAGGATTCCTTAAGAATTAAGATCTCATAAAGTTAGACAGCTTGAGGGCACTCTCTTGGGAGAGGAAGCTATGGAAGAGGGTGGGACCTTTATCTTCCCCTTCACCACTCACGGTTATGGCTACCTTTATGTGCCTCTACATAAAGATCAACAAACAATACATATATTATATACTGTGTAAGGCTGCAAAGGAAGCACACAAAACATGCTTTCCAATTTTCTTTACTTCTAAATCTTCCCTTTCTCCTTCTCACAAATCTATACGTACAAAGTACGCGGTCCAACTTTACCTGCATACCTAAAACAACTGCTTTAACTATTATTATAACCCTTTTTTTAATACTTCTTAGCCATAGTTGCATTCCATCTAATTACACATACAAATATTTCCCCCTATTCCACAGATCTTGTGTGAACAGAATAATACCTCTACTCTCTTTTGACTGCAATCACAACCAATCATCTCATTATATGACATCCCTGTACACCTTCACCGTTTAATACTGTTTTATTACCCAATGAGATTAACATGAAAAATACTAGTAATGTTTATTTTTTGTCTCTGGGTTTTGTTTTGTTAAAAATGGTTTCTGTCATCATTTTTCCTTGATACACAAAGAAAAAGAGTCCTGCCATAGAATGTTCTTTTTCACAACAAAGTAAAAACGTAAAGAATATAATTTATGAGTTGCATCCAGTCAAGTGGGGTATAATTGGGTTTAATTAATGCATGTTGAATTCAAACTACACTAATTTAGTTGGTGGAAAATTACATTGAATTGTTCAAACTTGGTATTACCAAAGAGACCCGCTACTATACCTTCTAGTCCAAGTACTTATCCAGTTAATCCAGAGAAAGAGAAAAATTAAGCAGAAAGGAAGTGAAAGCTGGGGAAATTGTGATGACATGTATAGAGATGAGAGAGGTAAAGTGAGGTATACAATCAACCGAGTTAGGAGTGGACGCAATAATCTAATTCCGTAGGTATTATTTATATAAGAAAAAAAGAAGAAGGCATCTTTGTGTGGGGAAACAAAGTTATAAGATATCGCTAGAAAAGCAAAGTTAGCACTGTGTATATCAGCCAAGGGAGAGGACAAGAACGCTTATGCTTCGTTTTTTTTTCAATTTTTACAACCATCATATCCATTCTTATTAGTCATTTCATGGAATCCTGACCGTCCCTTTGGCCGTAAAACTTGTATGTGCAGCTAGTGCTTGCATGTGACTTTCCTGGACCCTATAAATACACCCACTGCTATTCCATTCCAAAACCAACCACCACACAGATCAACAAGACCTATTCACACACTTTGCTTAGTGTGCTTCAAGTTGATTTCCTTGAAAAACCTAGGGCGTGTGTTTTGCGAGTGACTCTTGCAATCAGAAGAAGAAGAAGAAAGAGGAAAAGAGACATAATATGGGGGCTAAGAAGTCATCGTCCTTCTCCTTTTGTGGCATGTTCAAGGCCTGTTTCTCTAACAGCAAAGATGATTACTACTATAATTACGATGATAATAGTAGAAGGCACTTTGCAAGTGATGAGGATAGAGGGCGTTGGGTTGCTGAGCCTGGTATTGACAGAAAAGCATCTGCTTTCATTGCTAGATTCTATGCCTCACGAGTCAGTGACTCTGAGCACCAAATTGCATCCTGAAACTGAAATATCACCAAACCCTTTCTTTGTTGCTCTTCATTCATCAAAGTAGAGGTTCCTTTAATAACTCAGACCAGTTACCCTTGGTTCCTACCTCTCTCCTCTCTCTCCCTACAAATGTAATGGCACTCTCTTTCATTTCGTTGTAGTGGTTTTCACTCGAGGTGTGGATCCAAACTTACTAGGTAGCTGCTAATAACGTGTGTGGTCAATAATAATGTAAAAACTCATTATATTTTTGTTTTGCCTTCCCTCCATTCGTTGTTATTAAAAATGAAAACGCGTTCAATGAAAAGTAATGTTCCTAGCTACAACTTTCTTTATCATGCTAGCTGAGATTAATTTTCTCAAATTTAATATGATTCCGATGTGCATGTTGCTCTAATAGTCAGAGAATACATCAAGGGCATATCTGTCCCTGCATATCATTCCTGCTTTCGTCATTGATAGCAGCTTTAATCATCTCAGATTTCTAGATTTTAATCATAAAAGAAATATTAAGCAGCCAACTGCATGATTTGTGATATCCAAGCACTGAATCATGAGCATACTAGCACAAATTTACACTCAGTTGTTATCAGCACTTAAATTTTTTGGCCCTTCAATTAGCAAAGGCTCAAGTGAAGAATATAGAATTCATGTGTAGATTAGATTATGTGAGTAGTTTGATTATAGCAACATGTATATCCATAGCTTATGTAACATTGCTGACCTAATAATTTGTCTTAACGAGTGTGAGGGGGCAATTTGCCAAGAAAATATTCAACGCCACACTCCATATAAAAAACTGGACCATGTATTGCATTCTCTTTCATCTCTAATTGCCGATGCAATGACAAGTTCAACCAATTAGGGTTAGACGAAATTCGGTGGAGAGAATCCCATCCACACTACCAGGCCAATTCTAGAAATTAATAAATAAGTATCACTAATTTATTTTTATTAAATTAAAGAAGGTAAACACAGGTCATATAAAAATTGGTTGAAATCTTGAACCATATACCTTTAAGTGTCTTTTAATTATCCTATTGATTAGTAATTTAGTGTGTATTAGCATGGTGGTCAGAGAAAACCCTCTTACACACTTCACTAAACCAGATTACTTACAAATTCTCAGCTCAACCAATATATCTATTTTCACATTTTCATCGTAATTCTTTTTATTCAGTAATTATTTCTGTAGGTTTATTTTGCGTCTAGCTTTCTAAAGGCATATTGTCAGTTTCTAAGTTCGTATTGAGTGTTGCAAGCTTCTGTTTCCATCAATGAAATCAGGTAGTTTTTAGAAAATGTTTTCTTTCTAAATATTTTTAACCGATATAATTCAACCTGTGAACTAGATATGAACCAGCTAGATTCTCTTCTTTGAATCAATGGTTCGACTTTTGGGACAACCGTCATTATGTTCTCGTTTATCCAATTACCTGTATAATGAAGCAGGCCTAGCTTATTGTTTATTTTTCAGAAGCTGAAGAATGTGGTGACCACATGCTTTGATGACTTGTTATGGAGTATTCATGAGTAAGTAACAATGGGGTATCATCAGAATGATTCTGAAAATTTAGTCCATGTCGAGGTTATTTAATGAATGAAAACATATTTGGCACTACTATCAGTTAGGTTTAAATTATTTTATCAGTAAAATATCTTCTAGTAACTAAGTTTCTTTAAAGATGCACTATTTTCTGGGACATCAAAACATTCTTTCTAATTCTAACCTCTTATATTTTATTTTCTTCTATCCCTTAAAATTTTTATTAACTTTTGTTTTTTAACATAAAAGTTATGCTTGAAAGAGTAATTTAAAAGTCAGATTAAAATTAAAAATTACTGAAAGTTGAATTATAAATATTATATTAAACTCACTAAAGCGGACATGAATTTAAAATTTATATAAATTTTAATTATGTACTTTTCATAAAATATATTTTCAGATATTTATAATTGTAGTTTTTACTTAATTTTAAACTCTTGAATTTTATTTTATTTTGGAATCATTTATTTTAATTACCTTTTTTAGTTTAACCTGTTCTTTTAGATGAATAACTTACTATTAATAGTGTACTATATTTTCAATTAAATTTAAAATAAAATAAAAAGAATATACACTTGATCATGCCAATATATTTTGATAAGTATATAGTAGTAAAAAGTTTAAAGTCTTATAAGTATAATGTTAAAATAAATCATTATGTTGATTATATTAAGAACAAATCTTTCATATACTCTATAATTGAGAATAATTTAGCAATTGAATAAGATATTTTGAATAATAAAAATATAAAAATGGAAATATATGTTCAACAATTAGAAGATACATTTAGCAATGGCAAAAGAAAATTGTCTGAGATAGGCTCTTTTGTTGAAATCATTAACTTATTAAACCAGTTTCTGAGTATGGATGCACATTGACTTCTGTAACATTCTCTGCATTTTGTTATTATCTTCATTCTATAATCTTTGTCATTAATTACATTACCTTCTGTAAATATATATATATATATATACACACAAATTTAAACAAAAAACTATTTCAATTTTAAAGTAGTTTGTAGGATGTTGTATAAATCTTGGTTCTGGCTTTAATTACGTATGCGTAGCCCACATTAAATGGATTTATAGATTCTAAGAGGAATATGGTAACTACATGTACTTATATAATTGGTATATATCTCCCAATACCTAAATTTTCTTCAAAACTTTTTTTTCTTTTGGTGTTAATTAACATCTTGTTTTTAATATTTACACACATAATTTTTAATCATAGTTACCCGCCATAAGGTATTTAATATAATTCATGGAGAGACTAAAAATATTAAAAATTATATGTATAAAATCTAAAAAGACAATGTTTTAAAGTATAACAAAAATTTAAAAAAAGAAGAAGAAGTTGTAATTATATAAAAGAAGAAGAAAAGGAATTAATCTTTTGGATCCTGATTAGAAATGCAAGTTGAAAAGAATTGGCACCATTGGGATCTTGACATGAGGAGAATCAGAAATCTTAGTGATGGAGAAACAAATGTGGTGCATTGAGTACAAAGATTGCTTAATTAGTAACATAACACAAAAGAAGCTTGTACTCTTGTGCTTATTCTTGGCTTCACTTTGGAAAATTATTGGTAAAGGTTAAACGGAATCGTCAAAAAATGGACATCTAAGAATGACAAGATACCAGATTACCAGTGTACTTAGGAATATCATTCCAGCATCTTCTTCATCAACCAATGTCTGTTACTTTGAATTGTAAGGTCCTCAGTTTCGGCTTCTAAGTACACAATTAACCTACTACTTTCAGTGTCGGGAATATTGCTCAATTATATACATCTTCACTTCCTCATCTTAATACGTATACCATTACTCAATTATGAAATCTCTTTAGAAGCTAATTTAATGTGGTGTATCAAACAAAAATATACTATATGCTTAGTGCAGATAACTATCAACTCATAACTCGAGTTTCACTTTTTCCCCATGTGGCATGAAATTTTACAACTTTTGGTGGAAACTTTAGAGAGGTACTAATTCTCTTAATCAGAGGAGCTAGATATTCTAACTTAGCTTCATCTGTTGGTCTGAAACTAGAAAAGTTCGTGCCCCCTTACATGAACTGGTTGAATCCGATTTGAAGTTATCTTTCCACAGATTGACAACGGTATATAATATGGGGGGTGACACATGCATTGATTAATTTGTTTATATTCTGTAATGCAAAATATAGGCAGAGAGTATCTTTAATTTGTTTGCTATAGTTACTCTAGAAGGGCTTAGGTTACTTCCAAGAGTCAAATTAAAGAGCATCTTGGGATGGAATGGAATAATAGCTGAAACCCCTTCTGAAAAGTTTGGCTCTGTGTCCCATGCCACTTCCTCACCCCCTTCATCTTATATCACACATTTTCATATTTCAAAGCAGAAGAAAAGCTTTCTGAACTGTACAACATTAGAAGCACAAGTTTCGATGTTTTAGATATGTACTGAAGTTTGAATGTAGACTACATAGTCCTTTTAATAACAACAACTTAATCGTGATTAAAAGGGGCAAAAAAATTTAGTCACAAAACAATGTCTTAGCAATTGGAATGGCAGAAGAACAAATGCTTGGATGGGTTCCAACTCATAACTTGTGTAAACAAAGTAAGCACAAGAAAAGTGACTTCAACCCTAAACAAGCAAAAAGCTATATAGAGCTGGAAAAGAAAGGAAAAAGAAGAAAGAATAGTTATCGTGAAGGAAGAAGACATCCATATCCCACACATGGCAGTTTTTGGTGTAACATATAGAATTGTTTTAGTTTTACACACTAGTTTTCAACTATCAGGTTGAAAAAATCCATGCCAGCAAGCCACACTACAACCTAGAAGCAATAAAATGGGCATTTTCCTACCTAATAGCTACAAAATTAGGGGCATCTAAATTGATACGAACTATCTTCTTTTCCTACCTAGGGTTCTTCGTGACCTTTCCATGTGGAGCCTCACTTCAAATGATAGTCTTTTTTCTCTGGAATTTTAGTGCCTTTCCATTCCCACTATTTATGAAGTAGAAAGTTCTTTCCATTTTCAAGGTCACCATAAATGCATCAATTTCTCTCTATATTGCATCCGACACATTGTTTCTTGAAAGCATATGCATATTATGTTGGGTTTAATCAACAAATTCTTTTTCTGAAGCCTGCATCTTACAGAAATGGACTGAACACCCAGTATGAAGCTCAACTACCTGTAACTATGACTCGTTTGCACCCTAATAATATAAACCCTTCTTTGTTTGGTTTATTCTGTGAGAATATGTCTCCAATTCAGCTGAGATTTGTCCATAATTTGGATCTCAACATATTCAAGTGGCTTCAATACTATGAATTTACCTATAATATGAAATTTTCAGACTATCATTGAATTATATTGATCCAAAGTTTGCATTCATTTTTAGGCTACATTTGCCAACAAAAAACAAATAACACCCATATGATTCGAAGTCAACATCTACATGAAGTACAAATGAATTTTGTCACTATCTATCAACTGAAATAACATTAACAAATTTAATATTTATGTTATGCATAATTATTTACAGAACTATTATATTGAATCATATTATTAATCATTATTAACTCATCGGTCCAACCATTGATCCAATATACTTGTGATAAATTGAGCTATCTAAGATTTGACACTTTCTACTCATTCAATTCGTGAGTGAAGTTAGGTATGATTGATTCATGGACCAAAATTCACTTTATAACACTTGTGGAGTCAAATAAACTTAAACATGTAAATGAAAAATGAATCTTATATTTTTCAAAACTGAAAAAAAAGGTAATTTTTAGAGTGGAAAAAATTGACTTCTTTAGTTCATGAAGTTCATAAAAGAGAAAAAAATAATAATAAAATAAGTATATATATATATATATATATATATATATATATATATATATATATATATATATATATATATATATATAGCAATTCCAATCACAAATGTAAATCTATTTAATTTAGCAAAGTAAGTTTTCCGACCTTGAACCATTTATCAAAACGAGTTGAATGTAAAATTTGAACTTAACTTGGTTAAAAATTATGAAACCTGGACTTGATTTATTTAGTTTATTTATATGCTTATTTTTTATATTTATCAAATTTCTGTTTAAATTAATTTATTTAAATTAATTTTTAACAAGTATTTTCAGGTGGAAAAGTAAAATAGGACTATTATAATATACTGATATACTCATGGTATTATTTAAATTTTGCAAAAAAATCTTTAAGGATAAAAATAATAGATATTTTTCAAAAAAAATAATAATGGTTTTTTAGGGACTTCTCAATAAGAATTATTTAAAAATAAAATTAAATATTTTACCACAAATAAGTAAAATTAAATATTTTACTATAAATTCACAAAGTGATTTAAAACTTAGTTAGAAGTTTTTATATAAATAATTTTTTTTTAAATTTAAATAATTTTCTCTATTTTTAACTAACTCATTAGATCATAATATAATATTTATTTTTATTCTTAAAAAAAATACTTATTACCAAATCCCATTAGAAATATACTATAAAAGTTAATTCGATTAATAATACAATAAATAAATTTGTTGGTTTAACTAAATAAATAATTTTGATGTGACATTAACCATCCAAACTCTTATAATTTATGGATAACTTGAATTATTTACATTTTAAATATGCTTTATATATATATATATATATATATATATATATATATATATTAATCCATTTAGGGCACGTAATAATTTTTGTCTGAAAAAATATTCGTAAAATATTTTTATTTTATTTTTACTCTTTCAAAATTAAACGTATATTTTTCACACATGACGTTAATGTATCGATCTTAAATTCTTTAAAATAAGATAATTATTATCCATCATATTGTTTAAATACAAATATATAGTATTAAAAATATTATTTAATTATATTTTATTTAAATTAATTATTAAATATTTATTATTATTATTTAAAATAAGTGAAAATATATTATTTTAATATTTATTATTTAAATAGTTATGATTAAGATAAGAGACTAATTTAAAGAAAAAGAATGGATCCTACCGTCTCATCATACCATTTATATATATATATATATATATATATATATATATATATATATATATATATATATATATATATATATATATATATATATATGAAATCAAATAGAAATAATTTTATAAATATAAATAAAATTTAAATTTTTTATAAATTTTTATTTATATTTATAATAAATATTATATTTATTTTTTTACATTATATGTCATTTACACTTTTTTTTCTCTTTCTCTCTTCTATTTATTCTATTTTTATCTTTTTTTTCTATTACATTTTCATTTTCTTACTTATTTTTTTTACCATGCACTCATTTTATTTTTTATATTTTTATATTTTTCTTTATCACTCGAATACTTTTCTTTAATGTACATGATAAAAATTATAAGTTTTTTTCTTTAGTTTTTAAAATTTTCTTGTTTATAGTTTTATCTTTATAGCATAAAAATTATAATTTTTTTTAATAATTTTTTAGTTTTTTTCCTTTGTTCCCATTAAAGAATAAAATAAAAAAGTTAAAAAATTAAAGGAGATACCTCCTAACAATTTTCTTCAAATAAAGAAACAGTAAACAATTTATCTTTTTATTATTTTTGTTTATTATTATAACAAATTAATATGTGTAATACAATATGAAATGTTGATATAAATTAATTAAATATTTTAATATTTTATGATATTATATTTTGATATTAAAAAAACAAAAAAATTAGATTGAGTTTTAAAAATGTTTACGACCAAAAATATAAATTTATATTTTAAAAAAAATAAAGGATAAATAATAAAATAAGTTTTAAATTTTAAATTTTAAATTCAATTAGTAATATTGAACATGAACATTTTATATAATATATTTTTAAATGATAATTAATTTTTATATATTAATTAGATTCATTTAAAATTTTAATTTTATTCTTAAATGAGATATTATTAATATTTGATATTTTATCCTATTATTATTTATATATATATTACATCCAAACACGTCAAATAAGTATGGAGATACATAAACAAGAAAAAAATTATACTATAACAATATATCTTATATATCACTAGAAAAAAAACCCTAAACTTTTAATCTCAATTTTTAAATAGCGCAAGACTTCCGTATAGTAAGCTTAAGTATCTCTTTAAAGAATAAAACTTTGTTAATTAACATTTTTTTTCCCTCTTCCCACATTACATAATGATTTTTACATATAATTATGAGATTGAAATTATTTTTTCAGATTTAAATTATGGGTGTTATCTCAGTAAGTGTTTAAGTTAAAATTAAAATTGCAACAATTATTTTAAGTTTAAACAAGGTTGTTAAAAAAGTAAGCATGTTAACAGTGGATTGGTGAAACACATGGCTAACAGAAGGATCTTGGATAAAAGAAAATAAAAAATAGGTGGTTGTGGGGATACAACCCCCTTGCTTTAAGAGACCATATAGACATAATCATGGGTTGTGACCCATAACATATCACAAAACATGGAACATGCAATGAATAATGGAATGGGATGATGCATGGATATATATATATCATTGGGTTGTTTGAATGTCAACCCCTTCATTCATCTTTCACCTACTTACAACTTCTTTACTATCATTTTAATATAAATTTAAAAGTAATTATTATAAAAAATAATGATTTTTTAATATATGATTAAATTAGAAGAAGAAAATACTTGTTAGTATATTTTAATTAAAGGAAACAGAGGACATTATGCATTAAGATTAAAAAATTATCTTCATGGTTAATGATAAGTGCATTTATTGAATTATTTAAATATTTAATATAATTTTCCTAGTTTTCTAATTAATTTTTACAATTATAATCTTTTGGTAGGATTTGGTAAAGAAGAAATAATTTAAGAGCAAAGAAAAATGAAAACATAGAAAGAGAAATGTTAGTCGAACCAACATAAATTCTAATGAATCAACATAGACCCTTTACCATTTTTAAAATTATTGGCTATAATCATGCGTATTAAAAAAAATAAAAAAAATCAATGGTTACCATACTCAATTCAAAATTAGATTGTTTGAATATTTTGAAAAAAAAAAACTTTAATTATCTCTTAAGTGACTCAAATTAGTTTATGGGATGAAACCTTAATACATTAATGAAAAATGTAGATGACCAATTAAAAATAAAGCAACAATCATCTCCATTCATCCTCAATCATATTTGCTATTTTTCTGGCCAAACTAAAGACAACAAGGTTTCATTGTCATTTACAAAACAATAATGGTCCCAACAATTTCTTTTACTGTTCACTTGTCCTTTGCAGGTACAATGCATGTGAAAGGGAATAAACAAAGTCTAGTTGCTAAATTGAAAATCCAAAGAAATATCTATTTGTAATAAGATCAAAGGGCATATATATATATATATATATATATATATATATATATATATATATATATATATATATATATATATATATATATATATATATGCAGCATAGTACCGTTACAACATTCATGGTTCCTCTGTATTATGTCATTTAATTTGAACCATATGCAATGTCCCTAAAAATTCAAATAAAAAACTCGGAGGATATAGACTTTACGTCAGAGAGAAACCTTGGATCATAAAAAAAATGAGTCAATATGTGAATGTGGATATCACACTATCATAAGCTTTCATTGTTTATGGATTCTCAGATACCAAAGATAAGGCAATAGGTTGATTCTGAACGTCTTAGAGTATTTATTTCTTTGATTGTAGATTTATGCTGCTGTAAACAGTGACCAAACACACGTTGCAAGAATGGTATTGGGGAATGGAGATTTTGAAACCAAATGAAGGTGCATTGGGAAGTAAACAATATATGATTAGTCATTAATTACTTCAATGCCTGTGTCTTTTGTCAACTCCTGATTAGAATCGAAGGCACCGTCACTCAAGTGTTCACATTCAATATCTATCCAAAGACTAATTGTAAAATTATGGAGAATAATGGTATCAACGAGAGAAACTAGTGTAAGAAAACCCCACAGGGATTGGGGTTCCCTTGGTTGGCTTGTGTTGTCCAATCTTCCACGTTCCCATTCTTCATATCACATCATTATCACATGCCATGACGTGGGGAACTGAGCCATTGTCCAATGCCTTTTTCTTCATCACATATAACCCTCAGAATTTACACACCTGCATTCCAGGGACGCTTTCTTCACACCCTTATTTTCCCCATACAACACATCAATCTTGCACAGTAATAAAAAAAACACATAAAATGAAAAAGTGATACATATATGCTTAACTTATTTTACATTTGTGGTTCATATAATAATTGTGTGGATGAATTTCACATACAATAAAACAATAGAAAGAGGTAAGTATTACCAAGTGAGTACTGCAGTGTTTTGTGATGTGTCAAATAAACTCAGGAAAAATGTCATCAAAGACAAGCAAAGAAATGGGCTTATCTACAATACTGTAGTCTCACTCAGACCACAGAGACATGAAAGGAATAACCTATTTCGGAAGGCAGCAAAACACATAGGAAGGTTTCGACTTTGAAAAGCAAAACATTTATGGTGTGATGAAAATAGAAAGGTTAATAATAATGATGAGTGAGAAGAAGATGAAGTTGGTTGAAGATGGTGAAGTAGGAAAAAAGGGCATAGGTTAACTTATTTGACAGAGAGAGAGAGAGAGAGAGAGAAAGAGGGTAGGGTAGGGGGGGGTCCAGTTAGCATTAAATAATAGTAGAATCAAGTGGAAAAGATATCACGTGTAAGTGAAGGAGTGTGTCTTGTGAGAGAGCGTGGAGCATGTGCTTTGGTGCAGTTTGGCTTAATGAATGAATGAATGAGATAAGGGAAGTGATGAATAAAAAGGTGTGATTTTCCTTCCCTCATCTCACGGATCTTGCCCCTCTCTTCTCCTATCCCTCCCTCTGTCTTTCTGTCTCTCTGTTCCTCCCTCACTTCTCCTTCTTTTTATTTTCAATTCTCTTCTCTGCATCTTACTATATAACCCCTACACACCTCATTCATTGCAAACAACATACCCTAATGGCCTCTTGGAAGAAGACCATCACAACGCCCTTCAAAAAAGCTTGCACTTTTTTCAACCAGCAACCGCCAAGGGATCAAAAGAAGTCGCAAACAGGTCTGTACATGCCTCCACTAATCATAGCCTTCACCAATTCTTCAAAAGAAAAGACCTCATACACTGTATTTCAAGTGTTTTTATGTTGATTTCTTGTCAGAATTAAAACTCCACTTTTCAGAACATGGGCAAATCTCTGCTGTTTAGATTACTAAAATGAAGTTTTGACCAATTTCAGTTACTTTATGTTTTACATAAACGAAAACTAAAGCATTAGTCCTTTATCGATTGAAAGTTTACATTTTTTTATGAACTTTGTTTACTTTATATGCTATGATGGTGATGGATCTGTGGACTATGAATTTGCAGAGCAAGAGAGGCAAGTAATGGATCTGCACGGGGAAGTGATGGCATGTGGGTATGAAGATGTTCAAGTAATGTGGTCTATTTTGGATAAGTCCAAATCCACAAACAGCAATATAACCTCTTCAACCTGATCCTATCCTTCTTCTATCAATCAATAAAAAATGGCACTGCAGCAATTAGCGAATATTTTTGTATGCTAATGTCAAGGTCATGATGAATGTAATTCTGGTCGCAGAAGAAAAAAAAAATGAGAGTAGGGTAGTGTAGTGCAGGTGTGGTGTAATTTGAAAGTCAAATTGTGATGTGATGTATTATTGTAGGGAATCCCCATGATTGATGAGAAAATCATGGCGAGATTATCACGATGAAATGTAGATTAGATTCTTTTAACCTCTTTCTCTCTCTCTCTTTGTGTTAGTCAATAGTCAATGTTCAGATTTGGAGACAGAGAAAATATCTAATAGAGGACAACGAACATGGGACAGCGTGTTACACTGACACGGTTCTGTTCGTTCCTTCGCCATCAATTATTGATGGTAAGAAAAAAAAGATAACATAAAAATGGATTTTTTTTTTATTATTTTATTTCATCAACAAAAAGGGGTCCAGGACTAACGAGCAAAGGTAGCTGCAGAAAATCTGGGGCAACCTCAAAAATCTAAATTCTCGTAACAACGTTCAAAGACATTCTGAAATTTCGTAGCTTTAATTAAAGTAATAAAATGTAAAATAACCCCCAATGCTTTCACAATAGAAAATTGGCTTAAATTGCAAGCCAAATCATGAGAAAGCAATCATTGTCACTGCATACTGTTTGTGTGAAGAAAAATAACCAGCACATTTCATTTTCACGAAATCTTTCTAAGTGAACAGTTTAACATATTCCACATCAAAACATTTTCCTAATTCATTACAGAATATATCTTACTTATATTCTATTTTAATATAGTACTATTTTACAATTGCTGAGTTTATACAAATAAACATTTTAAGTTATAGACAATGTCTTACTTAACTAAGTGTTCAAACAATTAGTTATTAAATCTTAAAAAATATGTTTTTGTTATATAATCAAGATAAATTTATCTTTTACAAAGTTTAGCTTTTTTTTCATCTAAATTTTTTAATATTTTATTCTTTCCTATCGTTTTACGATATTTATCACTACTTTTATAATTTAATTTTTTCTCTCCATCCAACTAAATGCACCGACGTTTTATCACTATCCAATTTTTTGTCCTTCTTATTTGTCATAAATGGACTCACTTTTATCACTATCATCACTAAAGTTATGTCATTGTTTCATTATTATTTTTCATTAAAAAATATTATATTATTTATCATACTATTAGATGTTTTTTTATTAAGATATCCATTGATATTTTGAATTAGTTTAACTAGAATTCAAATTCAACTAATTAAATTAGTTTTAATTGTTAACCTAATCAACTCTAATATAGACTAAATTAATCATACAATTTTATTTTATTTTATTTTGTCTCCCTCCTTCGTTCCACTTCTCTATCTCAAAACTCCACCTACCAAAAAAGAGAATGAGATAAATGATTTTTTAAATATTATAAAGATAAAATAATTTGTATCAAATATAATTTTTCGTGTGATATTATCAAATAAAACAATGATTAATCATCCAAATCAGATTCGAATATTATTTGATTCCTTCCAAGAAAAGACTTGGATTGATTCCACAACATCTAAAAAAAAAAATTTAAATAAATTATTAAAATAATAAAATAAATATTCTCTAGAACATTCTTTGATCCTTCCTTTTCTCAGCATGGTCGAAATAAACAATTTAGAATTTGCACGGACTTTTTGTGAACTTGAATTGCCCAATTTGAGGGCGACGAAATTTCGGAACAAGGACGAAAGCTTCCAAACTGCCACACTTTGTTTTCTTCTTCTCTCAAATGAAGGCACGTGTCGGTGTTTTTTTTTTTTTTTTTTTCTTCTTCAATTGTCGACATTGTCATTTTCTTAGTAGAGTAGGTCTAAACTTTTAATCATGAAAGAAATTTGGAAGTTGTAATATATTTTAAAAGCAAAAATATCTAAAGTATGTAGACCAAATGAAATTATTATATCTTTAAATATGAAGAGCAGATTTTGAATGATTTCGATGTATCACAATTGTAAAATCTGAATTCAATAACAATTTACTTTAATATTATTATGATTGTTCTAAATTAGGAAAAAAAAAAAAAGGTAAAGTGAAAGAAAGATGGAGAGAAAAAATAATGCAGATTTAATAATGATGAAGGAAAGATATTAGTTGACATTCACTTCTTTGGCACAGTAAAATGATAGGAAAAAGAAAAGGAAAAAAAGTAAAAAAAAAAGTTATATATTTATATAATGAAATAAAGAGTATATATTATTTAAATAATTTTTCTTCTAATTAAAACTACTATATTAAAATTTAATAAAAATATGTTATAATAAATTTTTAATATATTTTTTAATTAAAATTTAATAAAAAAATGTGTTAAAGTAATTTTTACGATGTGTGGGATTAATTAATATTTTTCTTTTCACAAATTTCCTTTTCAACTTCTGAATTATATAAAAGACATGACCTTCCTTCATAAGAAAAAACACGGTGAAAAAACTGACTGAGTATATTTAAGCATTTTTGTTCTATTTTCACGTCGTTTCACATTAAGCCAATCCCTTCTATTTTAACAATATTTTTCTCAACTTTTTTTTTTTTTTTTTCATTTCTCAACCACCCATTTATCTTGATGTTTCTTTTCTTTTTTTCACATAGGTTTAGGTAGTAAGTTAAAAAATTCAAATGTTATTTTGAAATAAAAAAAAATAACTTATAAATAAAAAAGATTTTATAACTTAATGTTTTAACTATGATTTTGGGTTAAAAGTGATGTTATATTTTCTTATATAATTTACTTATGATTTATTTATAAGAATTTTCAGTATTTTTAGTTCCCTCAAAAATATCTAACAAAACTTATTAAATATCTAAGCTGAATTTTTTTTTTTGAATAATATTTTAGTATATGCATTGTACATGATAAATACTTATAAAATAAATTTTAAATGTATAAATTAGATTATAATCAAAATTCATATAAATATCTTTAACTATAAAAATTGAAATTGGCATTTAAATTTTTTTATTAAATTTTGTTTATAAAAATAAATAAAAAATGTAAGGATAAACAATGAAGAACAATAATACAAATGAAGATAAAATAAGGGTAATTTGATATTGTTGAGAAAGAAAAAAACTAGTTGCAGAATTATAAAATGCTAATCCAAAGGAGAAGAAAGGAAACATTATAAAGATATCTAATTGAGCAAAATAAAGAAAATGAGTTTCGATCCTCACATTGAAATTTTTACTTAAAAATATAATGTAGATTTATTGGAGAGTTTCTATATCATAAAAAAAATATTTATTCGAAAAAAAGATATTAATGATTAATGTTAACTTCAAATATATTCATTAGATAATATAGGCTAGATTAAGCATTCAAAGTATTAAGATAATATTGAAAAAGAAATGTGTCTTGGTAAGTTATTTGGAACTGTGTCTTGAATGAATTTGGAGAAATTATGATATGACGATTCGGATATCCGATGTCTATTTCAATAACTAATTTTTTTAAAAGTCGTCTAGTGTTTATGTGACGTAAATGTGAGTTTATATAATTGTGTGATGTGATATATAAAATCTTGAAGTTGAATTATATTATTTTATTTCACATTTAAATCTTATGTGCTTAAATTGAATTATGTATTTTGTATATATTTTTTAACTGTGATAATCATATGTTTATATGAAAACAGAATTTATGTATTTACATGAGTAGATTTTATAAATAATAGACCTTAATAAGAATAAATACTAAGTATATATTTTTTAACTGAAAACAAAATTTATGTATTTAGATTTTATAAATAATAGACCTCAATAAGAATAAATACGAAATTAGAAATAATATAGATTATATTTTGTTTATTTTTAAAATGGTAAATATATACATATATATATATCTCTCTTTATATATATATATATATATGAGGTATTTATAATTGTAGGACTGTTACACTTAATAAAGTTTATTGAGAGTTTCTAGATCATAAAAAAGAGATTTTTTTTTCATGATTACTTTTAACTTCAAATATATTCTATGCTAGATGAAGCATTGAGAGCTCATTGACAATTTTATGGGCCCTCTTGGTTTCAAGGAAACCACCTAATGGGAAATGGCTTGATAGTTGTTGATACTATGTTTAACACACCATTCTGCAAAGAGGATGCTAACTTCTTTTTTTCGCTTTGGGTGCAGAGAATAAATAAGAAAATACAAATTACAACCAAAGAAATCAAATGATAAAATTACTCTGAATAATTGATTCCTGGTAAATAAAAATCCAGCTTGCATAAAATACAAAAACTTCAAACCCTAACCCTCCAATGTATGCTATCATCGAACTCTATACCTTCTGATATGCGTGGCTGAACACGGGACCAATTCACCTGAAATTTCTCTCTTCCTTTGCTTCAAGGGCATCAACTTCCTCATTGGATAGTAGGTCCACTATAGGTTCATATACGTCCCACTCCTTTCTTTTCCTGTTTACATTCAAGCATAAATGGCCAAGCCTGTCAACTTCTCATATTGAATTTCATATGCAAGACTACATATATCAGTTCCTGGCACAAAGAACCCTTGTCTGTATTATTATGTGATAGATAGGACCCACGAAGTTTCAAATCATATAATCAGTTACAAAGTGGTTTTACTTGGAAAGGCAATGGCTTTAAGATTAAATAGTTAGGTAGAATACAAGGGAAAACATTCAGATTGTAGGCCGGGAATTGGGCATTGCTCTACCCAAGAAAAGGAACCCATTGTGATGAAGAAACCCTAACCTAGAGGAGAATTCTCTTCTTTCTGTCATTCAATATGCAAGAACAGAAGCATTTCTTTTCTCTTTCTTGTTTTCACATCTCTCTATAGGTGCATATTGTGTTTCCGGTTCAAACTAGTTTAAAAATTACACACCATAGATTTAAACCTGCATGTTACGCGATTGATCAACAAAATTGTTTATACTGTTACATAGTTAGAGTACATTTTTATTTTACTGCATCACATATTAAAAATTAAAATAAATAATCTAATAAATCTTTGAAAAGAGGTGAAGTGTTTGCCATCCATGAAGTGTTCGTGAAAATATTTATTAAGGCAGAAATATTACATTGAAAAAATTACAAAAATAATCACTTAAAAGTGAGTTATTTTGAGGAAGTATAGTTATTTTGTACAATGGAACTGCTGGGTTATTTTGAGGTAGTTATTTTGTAGAATGGAACTGATGGCTTATTTATTTGAGAAATTAAAAAGGAATAGGAGTTGTTTGATGTGGTATCATCTGGTTAGGAGAAGGTGAGGAATTGATGTATGGAACCATTATGCAAAACAATAATCAAAACGCAGATATGACAATAAATGGTAAGCTTAGTTGTCCATGTCATAGTTTGGGCTTTAGGATTTATATATTATAAACAGATTAGTAGAGAATGAAGTGTAAAAGGAATTTTATAAGAACTAAACACACCCAAACAGTTAACAACGCCATTCCATTTTATCTAAAATGTTCCAAATAGTCCTCATCTCAGTCAGGAAATTTGTTTAATAAAGAAAAAACAAACAAAAAGTAGAGTTACAAATGAAAATAATTTAAGGAAAAAATATTAGTATTTCCTAATAATTTAATTCCCTAGTCAATCTCATTTTTTTTGTTTTCTATTCCACCGTTATTTCCAATAATTTCTTCATTTTACTGATATCTGTACCTTTTTCTTGTTCGTAATTGCACAAAGCCACAAACATATATGTCAACTGTCATACTATGAATTACTTAATTTCATTGTGCCATAATAATACACATTGTGCCATTTTAACAATTATTTTAAGGACATACACAACATTAAAGGATGATATAAATATTCAGTATTATATCATTGAATTTCAGCAAAAACAGAGTGTTCCAATTTATGACAACGACTTACCGGACTACACTGGATTTCGGACCAAATAACTTGACCAAGTCCACTGCAACAGCACCTCCTTTACTGTTACAGGATCATTGACGAGAAAAAGACATGAGTAAGGAAAATACATATTCACTTAGAATTATAATAACATTGCATATATTAGGCTTTGCAAACTTGACACAAGTGTGTGATAAAAAACCTGATCGGAGTATATTCAGCCCCTCTCCGACCCTTCTTGCTCATTCTGCTTTCTCTTGCTGAAACCACACTTTGAATTGCAATCTAAATATGAAAACATAAAGACTGGTAACTGAACCATATATAATTCCTGAAATGATGCATCAATAAACCAATAAGACTTACCTCATAAAGTTGCTCTCTGATGGCAAAGGCAATAGCTGGCTGCAAAGCAGAAGAAACATTTTACAGTTTAGTATGTTTGATTTTCCGAGAATGTCTCCGTGCTTGTGCATGTTAAAAAGAAAGCAAGAAAAAATTTCCATTCATAAAATCAAGAATATAATCCTCCATTACAACAGAAAAAAGAATGCCTTATTTTAACTTATTACTAATGAAAATTGGATATACTTACTCCAACCTCAGGATCTTCAATTCCCATATCCTTGCAGAAGATTCTAGCAAACTCTTCAGGATCGCTCTCAAAGTTGTTCAAGTCCTAGAATTCAACAATTTTAGACACATAAAACCCAAAGAAGCACAGCAATCTAACACCACAACACCTGTGCTGTGCTCCAATCTTACCCATAAAAACTGGTCCTTTACAAGCGTATGATTAACACGAAGATCGAGCTGCAAAACAGAAACAACATTATTTTGTTGATAGGTAAAGCAATCATTGAATGAAACATGAGAAACAAAAAATGGTAACAAAGAGAGACCTTGATCGGAACAATCTTCTCCCCAGCATACATATCCTGGCCTTCATAGGATCTAAACTCCAAGAGCTGTGACTGATAGCATAAGATAACATAAGTTATGCTAAATGCACGATAATAACAATAATAAATATATAAAAAGGATTTAACTACTCATTTGGAGACTATGAGCCAGTTTGGATGAAACTTGTCTATAACCATTGCTAGAGGAAACAAATAAGGAAAAATCAAATTAGTTTCTACATAAGCTAAAATTAGTTTATATATGAGTTAAGAATCAAATTTTAACGGGGTTAATAGCAAATAACTTACACAAATTAACTCATCCATAAACTAATTTTAACTTACGGAGAACCAATTTCATATTTCTTCGTAGAAGTGTTTATAAAAAAGTTTCTCCAATCAGACCATATATCTATATAAATTTTACGCCTTAGCCTCCTCTATACTTCAAAACTACAAGTTTTAATCCCTATACATACACTTTTAAATCCGTTGTAGTCCCAACCGTCCATAATGGTAAGGACTAGGCTAAATGAATTTATAGGAACTAAAATGAATTAAAAAGGTGCAAGCAAAGGATCTAAAACAAGTAGTTTCTAGGTGCAATATCTAAAATATTGTAAAAGAGTAATTAGACCTAATACAAAGAAAAGGATAAAAAAAAAATTGGTGAAGTGTATACTTGAATAGATTGAGCAATTTGTGTTACAAAAGCAGGAGGGAGCTTCAAGTCTTTAACAGTCCTTTTTGCGAAGACCACAACCTCGGAGTCGGGATCTGCAAACGTTGGAAGTCAATCAACGCAAATGAATAAACAAGAACAGCAACATGATCAGGTTTTGTTTGAAATTACCAGAAGGATTCCAAGTGAATGCGTCTTTGTATCTCTGCCCCTCGATTTCGATATCCAAACGAATGGGAACCAAGTTCTCTGCAGTTGGCCTGTGCATTAATCATTCATTACGCATTGCAAACTCCAACCAAACCAAAAAATTTCAATTTTTATACTTACATTCTGAATTTCACGGGGTTTCGGTAGAAACCCGAAATCGGGGTTTTCATTCTGTCCCAACACGAATGAACGAATGGATGATTACGACGCCGTTTCGATGGAATATGTTCACAAACTAACTTCTCGTCCCAAACCAAAATCCGAACACTTGAAAGATATTCTTTGCACACTTACCACACCCCGCAGTTTCTGCGTCTGTAATTTTGTATTTGTTTCACAGCGTTTACAAATTTCAGTTCTCAGATTCTAGGAAAGAGGCGTGTTTTGTTTGGGCCGGAGCCCAGGCCCACTATCGGAGGATTTTATTTTGTCATTCTTGAGGTTTCTTAATGCAATAATGCAAGTAGGATGTAAAGGATAAATACTTAGCAAAATATTAATTTAGGTAATAATTATTATTTGATAGAAATATAATAAATAAGTATTTAAATTTTGATTGTAAGACGAAAGAAATTGTTTTAAGCAAACACATAATTACTTGTATAAAGAAAGAGTTTTGTTTTTTTAATATTTAAATATAATGATTAAAACCTGATAATCATTGACTTACAAATAGCTACTAATAAATTGTTAAAAAAAGTGGTCCTTTGAAAAAGTAAATGAGTCGAAACAGGTTGGTTTGAAAATTTGGAAGGTGGAGGTAGAATATATTCATGAAGAGTTTGAGGACATTAACAAGAAACAAGGTTATAAACACTTTCCATTTCAGAAATTATTTCCCTACATGGCTATGTATAGATATCGTCCTCTTCTAGGGCTACCTTGGTCTTAAGATTCCTTAAAGGACCATATTGGGTGGACAAATAGAGCATCCAAACCCCTCATTTTCAGGTCCTTTTTGTCATGTCATAGAGAAATTGCATACAAATTGTTTCTTTACATGGAACATTTAGAAAAAAAAAAAAAAACTTACATGACATAATTGATACAAAATTTATTTTTTAAAAATTTAATTTTTAATTTATGAATATATTAATTCTAACGTTGTATGTGTTTTTCTATTCAAATAAACGGTAGCTAATACTTGTGAGTGATCCAATAAAAATCCTTCCTGTATATTAATTAAGTGTTGTAATGAATATGGTAAAAGTTACATGGTTATAGTTTTTAATTGATTAATATTGTAAAAAAGGTTATATTGATAATGCAGATGAATATCAAAAAGTGTAGTTGGTTTATGATATTGAAGGTGGATGTAAATGGGTCGCAAAAGATTTTGTGGTGGAGTTGAAAATTGAAAATGAAGGGGTATCAATGATTGTGGAGATGAAATATCGTTGTCAGTAGGTGAATGTTTGATGAACAATCAAGATGAACAATCAAAATGAGTACACTTCTCTGGCAGACAGATGTTTGAATGTGGATTGTTTAATTCATGGTTAGAATCTTCCTCAAATTATGACAATGAAAGCAAAACCACTGTTCTTGACACGAGGGGTGTGGACACCAGAAGCATCATTATGTTGTACCCAACAAAGCCAAACACATCAAAGCAGAGACAGCAGAAAAAAGGCCCCTGTAGGGAAATTAGGAAAATCATACCTGCTTTTTATAGTTCCACTATATTAGCTTTCACACATTTTAAGCAACACACGGTTTACAGTGTTACATATTTCAACTTGTAGGTAAATTTCATCCAAGGAAGGTGCAATAGGATGAATTTTTTTTTTATTTTTTTTCAATGTACATTACACCAAACGTCATGCATTATCGGTAAGAAGATAAAAGGTTCAACCCAAAACAAAAAACAAAATTGGACGACTCTATTATCAGACAGAGAGACCGAGAAAAACTGCAGCTATGCACTGAATTGACTATTAGGTAAGAAGAGCTATACATCTATATTTTTTGGTGTATAAAGCTATTAGATATGACAATCGCGGGATCCATTCTTTTTGGTGAAATATTTCAACGGCTTTCACCCACTCACTAATTAATAAACTAGATCTACAACAAAAATTTATGAACAATGAAAATTGAGGAGGAGCTTGTGTAGTGTTGAGTTGTGTTGTGTTGTGAGAGATTGTATACATTATTAAATTAACTAGCATCTGTCAGCTCTCGTGATCTTCAGCCTCTTCACACTGCTCAAGAACATCCTGTATTGATTATCGAATACAAAAGGGTTAAACAAAATACACTGAAAAATGGAACTAATACTGAGATTTAAGGGTTCAGTTTTGAGACCAAGATGTATCACTTACTCCCACGGCACATCTCCAACCATCATCCAGTCCCCTTCTTGATCCTCGTAAGTTAGCACGTGAAAATTCCCAGAATTGAGTGGTTGAGAGTTAGGACCTGAAAAAAACAAATTTGATCTCTAAATATGATGGTCCAAAAGAAGGTGCAAAAGGCAACTATTTCATGAGGGTTTCAAATGCTTACACAGAATGGTGGTCCTGAACATATGGCCAAGAGTTTTCACAAGTCCATCGTAGCTATAATGTGCCATCAGATTTAATTTTCTTCCGATGGGGATGCCTTCCATGTAGACTTTGACAAATAAAGAGGGCCTTTGGCTCAGAAGGCTTTGTTTCCCCACAAGGGTGCTCCTCAATATGGACTTAATTGGTGGCCAGTTGAAACTTTCCTCCCTGAAGGGTACATAATATATTAACATGTTAATGCAATTAATCATACATGCATCAACATATTCAACACAGACAATAGGATCAAGGTTAAGGAACAAAAAGAATCCAAGCTATTAGGCTTTATCTTGAAAAAAGTGCTATTGAGAGCATTGGTGTGGAGAAATAGATAGGTATGTATTGTTTACCTTGGTGTTGAATTGAAAGGTGGTTGAGATTGAGAAGAAGGAGAGATGCTAAGACCAAGTCTGAGGTCAGTGCTCAAATCAGTTCTGTTTCTGCAGACACTTGATGAAGGGGAAGAGGGTGGTGGAGTCCTAGAAGGGTGGTTGTTGCTATCAATGGAAGATGATGAAGATGATGATGACTGGGTTTGAGGAGCATCGATTTGTTCTAATGTTCCCATATCTTCCAATGAATGAAACTGATCAAGACTGAAAAGAAAAGCCGCCACCTTAGGGTCCTTATATATATACACACAACAGAAGCTACTTTAAACCAAAAAAGAAAGTTAGAGAGAGAGAGAGAGAGAGTGATAAGCAAAAGCAAAGCCAAGTCAGACATTGAGCAGACTCTCTTTGGTTTTGATTTGCCCTGAGGGTGGGCGACATGTCCACAAGGACTAAGTTACACGGTCTTTAATTAATTACTTATTTTGAAGTTTTGGTTGGTTGGAACCTACAAAACTTGTTTATTTTAATCAGCTCTTAATGATATTCCACCCCTCTTCCTGTTTATTTTAATTTTGGAAGGTTTTTATTTTATTTTAAGCAACTCTGCCTTCCATGGCAGATGTCTTCACATGATTATGGGAGGACATCAGGTTTAGTATTATTAAATTGGAAAAAAAGTGAATGGTTTGCCTCTCTGGTCATTGGTCATGCACACCATGTACTATATCATTAATAAAATAAGAAACAACAGAAAACTAATCTCTGCTTGTCTTTTCATATAATAATAATAATAATAATCCATTGTAGAATTTAGTGGGTTTACATCGTTGTTTAAATATTGGACTACAGAACATTGTTTTCTCTGTTGAGTACTGAGAGCTTTATGATTTACTTATCTTTCTTTTTTGTACATGTAAACAAATGAAAGGGGTTGAGAGAAAAGTTTTAAAATTTGTGCCGTTGATCTGGTGAAAATCTCAAAAACCAATCCACTTTGAAGGGCTTTCTAGCCTTAACAATTATGGTGTCAACTAATTTCTTAGAAAAGGAGATTTGAATAGAAAGAGTTGAAGTATCTAATTACACTGTTTCTGTGCCCCTTTTGGATGTATCGTTGTCTGTTAATAGGAAAAGTGGGATTGCCCAAATGGTTGAGCTAATATAACAAAAGTTGAACCAAAGTGATGGCAGTGCATAAGTGTTGGAAGAGAATGATGGAGACAATGTACAAGGGCCATTGAATTCAGTCTTGGATTAAGCACCCCATAACCATAAGCCATTACAAGTAGAAAAGAATTAAATTGACAGCTTGATCCACGCCATCACCAACCCCAGATAGGCAACTTGGAGTAACTATGATGTTCAGCCATATTTAGTAAACTGGGACGCATTAATTGTGATGCATTTCAAACATTGGACACCACTACAAGACTTGTTATTCTTGCTCATACCTCACTCTACAGTGGGTTGTTGTTGAGTTTGAGCATCAGATTCCAGTCAGGACTTGTTTCTGCATACTCCTTGCTTTTAATCTTGTTTATGTTCTTTTGTCTTTCATTTGTTAAGGGAAATGTGTGGGGAGTTAGACTTGGTGCAGCACCAAGTAGCTGAATTTGGAAAATATGGCACGTATTCACAACATAATCCTTAATTTTTAACAACAATTATGAATGTTACAGCTTAATCTGTGTTTGGTTCCTCTATTGAAAACACGTGTATTTATATTTTTCTTCGCACCAGAAGTACAGATATAAATTTGATTGGCAAAGGACTATATCTATTTCGAATCATGAAACAAAGATCAATGTTTAGATATTAAAAGAAGTTTTGCTCACCTCTTTTTCCTTTTCTTTCTTTTGTCTTTTCATTGCATACATACATCTTCTACTTTTGCTCAATTTCCATTCACTAAACAGGCACCTACCAACCTATAAACCAACTCTATGTTAAAATGAAGTTCACTGATAATCTGCATTAACTACATAAATTATTAATCATTCAAAACATAGCCATTTTATGAAGAGTTCAAATTATTTGATTATTAGAAATTTTGACACATTTTGAGTAGTTCAGACCATGTTAAGCTTTTGGAATGTAATCTTCTGCGATTAAAATTTTACTGCATAAAAAATTTCCATTTCCTAAGCTCCTACGTTTTTATAAAAAAGCTTTGGTCAAACCAAAAATAAAAAAATAGTATAAAACTATAAGAGGTAATCATGAGTGTTATTTATGAACAAAATTAAGCCCAATATTGATCTCATTTTTTCATGTTTATTTTCCATCCAAATGCCGGAATAATAATAAAAAAAAAAGTTAAATGCATTGGGAAATTATTTAGGTATGCTATTATGTGGATTATTTAAAGTTGGTTAAGTTTGATTAGATAGGAAAATCATTGAAAGTTGTTCCTTAAACTTGTAAGCCACTGACAATCATTTAAAAATTTGTGTGCAATTTGAAATGAATGAAACTAAAGTAGTTTTGATGTGATAAATGATAATATAAAAAAGTTGGCAATGAAGTAGAGAGGCATGAGTAAGAGGGTGAAATGGATTTATTATTGAATAGAGGCAACGTGTGGGGGGTGGGGCTGAGAGGATCAAACAAAGATGGAATAAAGAGAAGAAAAAAAAAAGAAAGAAGAAGAAGAAATGCAGAGACAAAGAAACATGAATTAAAGTCACAGTCTCCTCTTTGGAATTTGCAGAGTAGACACACTTCATTCTCTATGTTACATGTTTCTTCGTTTTCTGCCTTTAATTATCATTATTCCTATTGGTAAAACCATAGCCCTGGACCCTTTCACCTTTTTTCCTTTTCAAGACACATCTTAACAAAAATAAAAGAAAATGGGCCATGCAACAATTTAATCAATCTTTCAATTTGCATCATAATAACGTTTATTTGTAAATTAAAAAAAAATAAATAGGAATTATTGTTTGACCTCTTTAGAGGCTCCTTAAGGCGTGGCGATCTAAATATGGTTCTACCAAACAAGCCCCACGGAGCCACGGATGTTTCTATCAACAAACCTTAATTGATCCGACAAATTATGCCTACGTGGCCGGCCCTCTTAAGATGACTCATCCCACTAACAATTTCTTTGTTTAATACGAGGGACCACCATACCCACATAAATTAAATAAATATATAAATGTAAGCAATAAAAATGTATTTACGTCCATTGTTTTTGTTTTTTTTTTCATTGCCCAACTCACAGAATTAATAACAGTGATGTTTTACCTAATCAATTCATACTTAATTACCATGTGTAAGTCCAATTCTGTGGGTTGTTTTACGGTTTTAGGTCTCGTATTAATAATAATGAAATCAATATTGTTATTAAAAAAAAATGGGATTCTCTTATTTGATATATTAATTACTCAAGTGTTCAAGAGGTAAACTTAGTTGATTAGAAGTCACAAAAAAATGGACATGAACTACTAAAGTACACGATATACGAATAAAATAATTAGTTATAAATGAGGAGCAAAGTGTATGAGGCAAGGATGATTAGGGAAAGAGGAAAAGAAAGTGAAGAGGAAGTTTAGGGGGACACAAAATTTGAAGCTTGCAAGCAAGAAATAGTCTTTGATCTCATTTGGGCAAGTTTTGATACGTTCCATTCTAAACACAACTTTTTCTTAATTCAACTAAGCAATTCTTATCTCAAAAGCCAGGACATGAGCCCAACTTTACGAAACATGCAATCAAATACTCTCTTCTCTTCTCTTTATCTCTCTCTCTCTTTCTAAATATAACATTTTTATACAACCATGTGCCTACCCATGTGCCATCCCAATTTCCACTCTCATCAAAACTTCAACCCTCTATTTAATCCTCCTCCTTTCTACTTTAAACCTAACTACAAACATTATTTACATACGTAATTTCATATCAATAACGAGTGTTTGCTCTAACAATTTGATTTAATCTAAACTTCTGTAATCATTTATTGTGTATGATCCTCTTCAATCTCGTTACATAGCAACGCACACAAAACCTGAAAGATTGTCTCTTCCAATCTGATTTCATGTGCTAGATGAGTTGTTGGGTGCAATTCTGACAAATCCATTTGTTTGTTAGCATGCAGATTAAACAGTAGCTAGCCATAGCCAGACCTAGAGAGAATAACATTTTCTTCTTTCATTTTTCACTTTCCCCTTTTGTTATTTTTTCATTGCACCTATATGGAAGATGCCACTATGATGAGAATCTGTGTATGTATACCACTGCCTAACTTTCTTGCTGCTTCCTATTGTGTATTTCTATAGCATGAATAGAGAGTACTTTTCCACTGCCACCACCATAATTGCATATGAAATAGCAAGAAGGGGATAGGAGTTAGAGGCCACACAAACAAACACACAGGGAGAAGAATTATTCCTCAAGAAACGAGGGACAGAGAGAGAGTGGTTTAAGATTCGGTTTGTTAAAAACAAGGGTAAAAGAAAGGGTTGTTCCCCCAATGTTGCTTTAGTTGGACATCTCCCCCTTTTCTTTAATGGTCTAGATAGAGGGTATTATTTATTTCATCATTTTTTTGTCACATTGCACTTTGTGTGTGGCTTAAGCATATAGATTTCATCTCCCCCTTTCTTCTCTTTTCTTTCAAAAGTCACATACAACACAAGAAGACACAGTGTGGGAACAAGAGGTAGCCATGTCAAAGGAAGAGGTGGGCCTCGTGCACTGAGCCCCAATTGTTGCACCTTTGTGTTGGCCCTAAACACCAACCTACTTAACATCTCATTTAATTGTTCCCCTTGATCACCAACATGGCCTTCTTTCCACACCAAACTGGTTTCCAACCTTGGGATTTTATCAAACCCAATAAAGTTCCCTTGCTTAACCATCTTTCTCTCACTTTGTGCACTTTATGTTCCTCTTGCTTATTCCCATCTTTCATATTTCTTGCCACTACTCTTTCTTCAGATAACACAACCATTTTTTTCTATGCTATTTGCCTTGTGGGAAACATGGATCGATTGGTTTTTTGGAAATTGGTGGAGTTCTGTCAACATTTCATTGGTGGACACTGGTTTCAGCTAGCTGATATCTTTTCACAAACTATAATTTTAAAACTCATCTGCACTTCTAAAAGTAACTCATTGTAGAATTGTGCACTTCATTTTCCTCACAGCTGTTGTGGCTTATTACTATAATTTAATTGCCTTGTTTTTATCAAGTGTTATAGCATTATTGTTCTTATCCACGCCATTCGTTTTTCACCAAATAACCATTAGTGGTTTACCTTACAAAGATAATTGGCAATTCCATTTGCATTTCGATCATAGGAGAAATAGAACACTTTCCCTATATATGTCATGTCCCTTTCAGAAGAAAAAGTAGTAGAACTCTGATGTACTCTTTTTCTCTATTTTCGTACACCTACAGTACACTAAAATAAAAGCACTTACGTTTTTCTTTTTCTTTTATCCTTTCAATCAATGAAAAAATTCAACATGTTTTATCATCTTGCATATCTTTGTGTCGCATCTCATTTCATGTCACATGTTTTCTCTTGAGTTTGGTTTGGCTGTGAAGGTAAGATTAGTGGTTTGTCTGATTAGTAAGGAGACGTGTGTTAGAAGGTACACAAAAAACGAGGTGGCAACTACGTACAAATACATGTAGAGACAGGCATGTTTGGCACTTGCACATGCCAACTACAAAAGTTAACTCTTTACCACGTGTGTTTTGTACTACAAATAGAAAGATCCCTAATTTTTTATTTTTATTTTGTTTTTAAGAACTTTTTTTCTCTTTGTCCTTTTTTTACATTCCAAAATTAGTTTAGATGGTATAAAAATTTATTTCTAAAATAAGGGTGTGAAGAAAAAAAAAAAGAGAGAAAGGTAAAAAGAATTACCTTTCTTTCATTGAGAAAGCCCATAGACCTGCGAGTAAATCCAATACGAGCTATGGCCCACATATTTCCGCATCGTGGTCAGTGTGAGATGTAGGTTAAATGGGCCATCCATATGGCCCAATCCATATGTCCAACTATGTGTGTTTAACCGATGTAAGATATTTTGTTTAAATTTAAAATAAATATTTTTAAAAGAAGTAATTTTAAAATAATCTTCTATATGAGAACAAAATAAATTTTTCGTATTAAAATAGATAGAAAATTACTTATTTTTTAAATAAGTAGACAAAATTAATACTTTAAAAAAAAAAAGCACAAACAGACTTATTCATTTGTGTATAAGGAACCATTTATTATATAAATAAATAAATCCCACTTCCAAACATATACTAGATATAGCAACTATGAAATGTAATAAATGTGAAAATTAGCAAATTTGAAAATCTGTCAAGTTTGCTTTTCTGTCTTTCTAGTGTTTTAAAATAAAAATAAAAAATAAATTATATTTGTGAGTTAGGTGGTGTGTTTAGTGAGGTTTTGAAAATCATGCCATCAAGAAAGTGATTCAAATTGTATAAAATAGTGTTTAATCATGACATCCATAATAAAATTATAACAACCATTTAAACAACTTAAAATGATTACCGTTCAAGTTAGTCTTATGTCCCATAATTCAGAAGGAAAAACGCGTGACAATCATTTCATTTGTTATCTTTACATGAACACAAAAGTTGAGTTCTTGGTGTGTTCTTTTTGGAAGTACGCATCATTTGTGTTCATTTCACCGCAATTTTGAACTCAAATATGCACTGGAGTTCAACACAGTTTCATGGTTCGAAGTTCCACGGGAAGTTGTTTAAAAGATGAAATGTTTTTTCATCGATTGAACCCGTATAAAGTACAATGAAGAATGAGTAATGAGAAGGGAAGAGTCAGAGAGAAACTTGAACACACTTCATGGTTCAAAGTTCCAGAGACAGGAACCTGAATCTACTTGAAAAAAATAATTGAATGAAAACTGAATAAGCTCCTACATTAGAGCTAGCTTTTTCTAGCAATGTTTTTCTTTTTCAGATACCAATGGCTTGTGTGCAATGTAGGAGCAGAAGAAAACTATTGAAAGAATGATAGTTATGCAGTCTATCACTTGAATACCAAATTATGGCAGGTTTTGTCACAAGGGTAAGGACAACCAATAGCCTGGACACTAACTCGGTCAAAAAACCAGTTCCCAACAGACTCTGCGATTCCCTGCTTGTATTTTTAGACAAACATTAGATGGGTGAGATGAAATCTTACAACTGCAACCAAAAATATAATGATATTGAATTTTAACCAGAAACCTTTAACCAATGAGTTTTCTCCCTTCATGAGATTGATAAGAACAGGGAAAACAAATTTCAACTCAATGTTTTAGAATATGAACTGAGAGTAATGGTTGGAACTGTGATAATGTGTCCGCATATAACATAATATGGAGACGTTAAAAACAACTCCATTGATATCCAATCAATCTTCAACATTTAGAGTTTAGACATGGTAGATGGTTAAGTTCTTAAGTGTATTGTCTCTCCATTGAACTCATTTTAGAGTAACTCTTCCTCAAAATTGATAAAAGTAACATCATGAGTTATTTACAATAAATTAGTTAGGAAAGACGTACCCTATTTCCAATACGAGGAGAATCACGAGAAAACCATGTATCCTGTCTTTCTGATTGACAATGAGCGAAACATGAATTTATGAATAATCCATTTTTATAAGACCGTGAGAAGGCTCTTGTAGATCTAAGCATCTGATTTCGAAAACCTGCTTTATTCAAAGTTATGATATTGCCACCAATTAGTAACCATACTGAGAACAAATGATGAACAATTCTTGTAGAAAATTTAAAATGGGTGAAAACTAAAAACATTACCTTGAAGATACTGTATCTGCGGTGCACTGCAACGTGCATAATTTTTTCTGCATTCATACCAGTTCCATCGGTAGTCAGCAGATGGTGGAGCAAGACTGGCTTGAATCTGAAAAAAGTGGAACCAATCATCTATAAACCTTTCAGGCCAGTAATCTGATGCATGTTCATCACATAACAAAGAGGGTCAAAAACATAAGCCATGAAATTCCATACCCTACAAGTGATAAGAAACTAGCTTGTGAGAGCTTGCTCCCAAAATAAAAAAGAATTTTTTCAAGGGAAAATTTTCATATGGTGAAAGGAATTTACCTGCCAAGTATCATAAGCTGCATTGAGAAGAAACAGTGGTGTCCTAACACTGGCAATTAAGTGTTGAGGAAAATAGCACTGACAATAAAATACAGAAAAGAGTAAAAACAAAAGTTATGAGATACCTCTGCATTGAAAATAATAATCATGATAACAATTCCAGTAGTCCGTCTCCATATCCCATTTTAATAAAATATATATCATCTCAAGTAAGATTAGATAGTTATGTAATTTTACGATCTTGAATGACAGTAATAGTAGTTACCAAAATTGGATTGAGGCGACTGATACAACTTCTTGGAAGGCTCTTTTGCACTCCCTGTCATGCAAAGACGCATCTATTAATTTCCTGTTGTTGTACATGCATGCATTTCTAATAATCAAGTAATCAGAAGTTGTTGAAAGCATCCTACTACCTACCAGGAAATTGAAATAAACTTCCACAATATGGAGATTATCCAATTATAAGGCATTATTATCACATCTTTACTCTTTTCCTTCCTTTTTATTGGAGGAGCAGAACTGAAGTTTCAAATTGACCAGTGTGTATGAATCTTCCTAGAGTCATGATAGTATTGTTCATTGTAATTATTTAGCAATGAAGGAACTCGTATTTGTGATTTAGAAGGGGATTCGTATATGCTGCAATGCAAATGTGGTTGTTGTCATTGTCGCTCTGGTGTATTAATTAAGGCAATAAAAAATGTTCTCCAAGATTGTGATTTGAGACAGCCTCCTAACCACAAATAAAGTTCGTGATTTTTATGGTTCAGGCTTTAGGCAAATGATTGTTGGATCCTAGCTCATGACATTTTGTTTCATGATATGAAGTTATCTGATTCACCATATTTTACTATATCTATAACGAAGTAGAAACATAATACAACATGAAATATTCAAATGAGAAAAGACCTGTAAGGTGACCACACTTCCAAACAAATTCCTTAAGCTGCGACGGCCAGATACATCAACACTGCAATAATCAGAACTAAGATTTAGGACCAGATCAATAAATAATATATTAGAATTGAAAGTTCATTGGATGATGATTACGAATCAAGGAATAATCCAGCATCACTCAAGCATTTTACTCTTGTGGTTCTAGGAAACAATTCCCGAAATTCATCACAGTGTATAATGGTAGCTAAGCCTCCTGCAGAACATCCAGATAGAAGGGCCTGAAAAAGAAAAAACATAGATGATATCAAAAGGAAATCAAGCAGAATTTTTTTATTTTTTTTTCCTGAAATTATCAGAGGCCAGAGGGAAACCTGTTTGGCATAGCGCATCCCTTTTGACATTAGATCTTCCATAGCAGCTTGCCAAATGCGTTGCCCTCTGAAATACAATCCTGCTCCCTGTGGAGCAAAGATGAATTCAGCATTAATTCCACCACATTTACCATCAATCCATACAAACAGTGTTAAACAGGTAAGACTTTTAGATAAACACTTGAATGAAGTAGTAGTCTTTATTTGATAAAATTTTAATTTGCGTCAAATAAATTGATACAACTACAAGTGTTTAATTTGCACTCTTACCGCATTTTGACTGTCACCACTAAATGATGCACCATCACAATAACGGATTTTGATTCTATTCCAATTAAAAAAATCTGAAAATATAATCACCCAAAGAAAGATGAAGTTAATTTCTACTTAGAAATGGAGAGTAATTATGAAAGAGTGCAGTAAGTGGAAAAAAGATATAGCAATGCTGTTGAGTCTGAGAAATTTAACCTGGATTGTCCTCAGCTTTGTTGCTCAATATCCCAATAAATGGTATTTGTTTTTCCATAAAGAATGAGGAACCATGACGTGTTTTCTTACTGTAAAGACAATTTTTTATAGTTCCACACCAGCCTCCTCCCTGTCACCAAAGGTTTAGTGAAATTATTATGGCTAAACAGATCTGCAGGATGTTACAAGAAAGTCAGAAATTCAATGCCCAGGCTTAAGTGTCAATTTAAGATTGCATAAGCATAGCCATTCTAGTCAATCAGTGCATGATCACTCATCATCACCGAAAGGGTCAGAAAAAAAAAATGAAAAGGATGATCGTCGTTAGTAACGAAAGAACAAGCATTGTGTTCCGCCATTGGTGCACTTAATTCAAAGTTCAGGAGTCTCATATACCTCCAATTGTATAAGCCAACTGTTTGATCCTGAACCATATCCCCGATGGAAGTGGTAACCTGGTAAAGATCCATCCAGGCAGACTGCACAAAAGAACAAAAAATCACGCTATATGATAGCAAGCAATTAACTGTGCAATCAAGAAATTTTTTATTAGATATCATATTCATATCTCCAGATCTCAATCAAAACCAGTAAAAGTTATTCATAGCCGTGCTTTAGAAACAAAGAACACATGTCTTCATCATTATCAATGGTAAGTTCATGATGTAGTGTAGGTACAACATCTAAAATTGTATCCACAAATATGTTTCTGGAGAAAGACACCAAATGACCAAAACAACCGCAGATGACCTGATTTATTTGATCTAGCAATCACAAAAGTGGCATCAAAATCAGAGTAAATGACTTGAACAAACTCAATTTGCTAGGCCATGTTAATGCAAAGAAAGCAGGCATATGTGAAGAAGGAATGAATACCAGCTCCTTTAGCAGCAGCGCCATTAATAAGAGTAAGCCCAACCATCAAAGGTCTGTAGAAACCTCTTCCACTGACATATTGCATATCAATGTCTGTCACATTAGTATCCTCCAAGCCTTCCACCCATTTCACAATCACCAACCCCACAAACACAAACACCCTCAGCAGCTTCATGCCTCCACAACTCTTGCTTCTTTGGCTCATTGCCAACAGAAACAAACACACAATGGCAACTAAAAGGGTTGCTTCACCAGAACTTTAAGCTAAAGCATGAAAAGGAAGAGTTCAAGAGAGTGAAGTTGGAGGGAAAGAAGAGGATGGAGAGGGGGGAAGAAATAAAAAAAGCAACCTTTTTTCCAAAAGCTGTGAAATTGTCTAAGTTAAATCACAGAAAGGAAATGATAAGATAAATAAGCAAGTTTTCTAATTGGGTAATAAATAACCAATGAATGCAGCAATAATAGCTGCAAGAAAACACAGAGGGGCATGACACATTTTTAGGACTAACATAAATAAAAGCAAATGACAAACAGCAAAGTCCAACAGCGGAATGAAAATGTATTTAGAGGGTAAATAATGGCATCACATGAATGAAATGAAAATGTAGATAATGAATGAGTGAGTGAAGGGAACTAACTAGAAAGTGAAAGGCAAAGAGAAGCCAAGGAATGTGAGGAAAGAAGCACCGACATGAAACATGAGAGGAGGAGGAAGAGGCTGGCCAGAGCTGTACCTCACTCCCATCATTCTCACACTGTTCAAACTCTGGGCCCTCTCCTCTCATGAGTTGTACAAAATCACAATTCCAAATTTACAACTTATAACAATTATTTTATTTCATCTCCAACATTATTTCAATTCAAATACATTATTTACATTGCCTATTTTTTTTACACAATATTAAACTTCACACTCATATTTACGTTCCAATACTTATGAAATCAATATTTTTACTCTTCTTTTCTGTCTCTCTCTTTCTATCCAATTATTACATTTATCCTTCCAAAACGTTACCTCCTAGAGTAGCTATCACCTTGTTATGTTCCTTTTATTTTGGTGGTGCCATATCAAATTTAAGATTGTTTTTTGGACCACACTTCTTCGTGGCATTTAATAAAAGTTTTTTTTTTTTTCAAATTTCTTGCACCTTAATGTTTCAGGATCTCACTCTCTGATTCAACATGTCCCTCTTTAAATAAAAATACCATCTTCAAATACTTAAGATGTTTATTTTTCTTTAATGAGCTATATATGGTATACTGGATATCAATAATAATCTTTGTTTTATAAAATTAATTGTGATTACATATCGATTTTAAGTGAAATTGATTTTTATTTTTAAGACATTCTTTTGTTATGATATGACACGTTAATCTGTCACCATTTGTAAAAAGTGGTTTTGTTGTTGAAGCAAGTTCCTATCTTTCAATTATACTAAAATAATATGTTTTATTGTCAATTTTAAAATTCGAATTTAATTTTATTATAATTTGTTTTTTTTTAATTAATATATATATATATATATATATATATATATATATATTATCATTACCCTTAATATTTAAATATTAATAACACAAATCTCCTTCGTCATATTTCATTTTAGACCGCAAATGATCTTCTTAACATAAATCTTGTTATTTTATTTTATTTCTAATTATTTGATGTCTGATTAAAAACTAAAGTAAAGAAAAATAATAAAGAATAAAAAAAGATAAAAAAAATAATATGGTACTAATTTCATGGTTAAAAAAAGTGGTAATCAACTCCAATACTAATTTTTATAAATTTATTTATTAACCTAAATGAATTTTGAAACTATATCGTTATTGAAATGAACTATGAAGATTGAATTTTTATTTGCTATATTGAATTCGGAGAATTACTAGGTTTTGAGTTCTGGATACGTGTATGTTCGTGTATTCTCAAAATATTAACCGTGAAAACTTTTTACATGTAATAACGATAATAAATTTGATATTTTTAACTTATTGTGTATATATAAGAATCCTTGTGTCTTTTAATATCTTTTTAATTTTTTTTATAACAGTATTTAGAATATTGTAAACTATATTCAAGAAAGTTAAATTAATGTTAAGGTTTTGAAAAAAAAAAACACTACAAACAAATTTCATATTACTGACGGATAATATAAATCGGAAAATAAGTAATTAACGACGAAAATTACTAACGGATTTAGAGTAGTTGTAGAATTTGGTTTCAGCTATGGATATTTTTGTTCGTAAATAAATAATTAATTATCGACGAATATATCCGTCGGTAAATCCGTCAATAAATGAACAAATAATTATCGACGAGATATATCCATCGGTAAATTAATATTTTTGTCACGTAAATAAATAATTAATTATCGACGAATATATCACGTCGGTAAATCCGTCAATAAATGAACAAATAATTACTTGACGAGATATATCCATCGGTAAATTAATAAGTTTGGTAAATGGACAATTAATTATCCGTCGGTAATTATTTGTTTATTTACCGATGGATTTAAAATATATTTTAAAAAAATAATATTAAATAAAAAATATTTAAAATTATATAATAATTACTTAATTTTAAATATATTATAATAAACACGACACACACTTTCACTGTCCTCACATCCAACATATAAATATATAAATATAGCAAAATATATAAATATATTTGTATTTATATATTTATACATATATACATTTATTTGTATATAAATATAATTTATTTGTAAATTATGATGAGAAAAACTTATTAACTTAGTGGTTAGAGTATTAGTCTCCAATTCTAAGGTGCTTGAGTTCAAATCTTGATAGTGATTAGTCACTTGGAATAAAAAATTCAATAAAAAAATAAATAATTAATATAATGAAATTTCCATGTGTCAAAATTAATTTATATACATTTGATATAAAAATCCTTGATGATGCATTAATTTTAAAAGTTGTCTGTGCAAATAGGTGAGAGATAAGATCATTGTTTTTTAAAAGTCTCATATTTTCATTGATAATTTTTAGTGTATATACTAAAGTTTTTTGTCTTCATTATTAATGCTTTTTTAGTGATTCTTCAACAAACCATATTTGGGTCAATGGAAAGTCATAAGATATTGCAAAGAACCAAAACTTATATGTTGATTCCAATAAGTCATATTATACAAATTATTTCTGTGTCACTTTTGATTTACTATAGCAAATTTGTTGCTGTGAGTTTTTCTAAAAATAAAAATAAAAAATATTAATGTTAAGTATTTATTTGATTTTTTTAAAATTTAATTAGGATTTAATTAAAATCTAATCAGATTTAATAAATATAATATTTTTTATAATATAATAAATAAATTAATAATATTTAAAAAATAAAAATAAAAATTATTATTATTATTATTATAATGAATATAAATTATAATAAAAATTACAAATGTAAAATATATTAAAAATACAAGAGAGATAATTATAAAAATAAGATGAGAGTAAAATAAAGTAAAATAACTATTATTCAAAATTTATGTAAAAAAAATTAAAATATATTATATTTTATATAACAAATTATATTAAAATTTCTTTCTTTAATTTTTTTTTTTACTAAAATTGACTCAAAATTTCAATTAATTTTATTCATTTTTATAATTTTATTTCAATTTAATTAAAATTCAATTATTTTAAAATAATCAACTAATATTTAAACATATTCCAATTAAAACGATCGAATATATCAATCCAATTTTTAAAATAGTGATTTTAGTACATCCATTAACAACTGGAATTTGATAAAAACATATATCTCGTACGTGTCTAGTCAATAATTTACATATATATTTCAAACAAATTTCTTACAAAATTTATAAATGTTTTGACTATTATTTATAATTCAATGTACTAATTATCATAAAGAAATTTACACTTTTAATTAGAAGTAAAAAAAAAATCTGACTAATTCACTGGGATAAAAAATATATATGGTAATAAACTTGTTCTTAAGAAAAAAACATATTTACCAACCTTAATCAAACAAATAAGATACAGTTTGTAAATAAAAGATTCTTGCTCGTAACCCTTCTAAAGTTTTTATAATTTGTATATGATTCTGATTTTCTAAACTAATTTATATATTATGAATAAAACTTAATAATTATTAAATATATTTGTTTACATATTTATATATTTAATCTCTTATTTTTTTATTAATAATATTTTTTTAGGTCCACCGTTGATTATACTCTATTAATATTTTAAATAAAAAAATCTGTTTTTTCTCGTAAGTTCAAAAATAAATTTAAAAAAAAATCACAAACTTTCTCTTAAAGAAAAAAACTTTGCAGTGAGCTTTAATTTGAAATCACGTGAATGACATAGCCAGACAGTCTTAAAATTAATTAATGAAGCAATCGGCGATGAATGCGGTACTACAATTACATAATAAATAATAAGGGTCCACGTATTTCCCCCTTCTACATTGCAAAGCCCAAAGAGAAAATTAACTAGGCCCACTAAATAATTTGATAAAATATATTTGTATAAATTGTATTCATAAAAATAAATTTGAATAAAATAAATACAGTAACAGTCTTGTATTTTATTTTTTCGTAGATAAAAGTAAAATAAAAAAGTTATTTCCTAATAACTAGGTCCACTGTCATGAGATCCCCTGAAATCATTTGGAATCTGAAAGGGGAATAACCTAAATTATCATTTTATTATTATAAAATATATAAAGGTTATAACAATATTTCCAAATAAACAATTTGGGAAATAAAGACAAAGTACAATGATTAAAATATGGTAAGTAGAACTATTGTATAGTACACCATACAGTTTATGTTTTCAATAAATTGTAAAAATAAAAATATAATTGTATCGTGGATAAATTAATGGGATCACATGATTAGAAACTAATCATAGAGTGTAAACTATACTATAATGTCTGATCAGTGGAACCTTTCTTGTCTTTCTTCTTCGTGGGAGAGAATGTTTTGGAGAGTGGACATGCTTTCATGGTTACGAGGAGGTGGATCTTTGTGCAACATGCTCTTATCATCAAAAGGTGCACTGTTTTGGTATTTGTACCATTTTGCACACAACAGATAGATAACAAAGTTAAGCATGCTGAGTATAGCAAGGAACCAGTAGAATAATTCAACATGGTTTTGGTTCAAATCACGTCCCTCTAGCCACCCTTTCTTGCTCTTTGCGATCCTGCTGGTTACCAAGTTGATGAGCTCAACAAAAGCTGTGCTCAAGTAGTAACCCATGGACAAGGAAAGAAAGGAAAAGGATGTGGAAAGAGAACGCATGCCTTGAGGTGCTTCTTTGTAGAAAAACTCCAACAACCCCACCAGTGTGAACATGTCAGCTATGCCAAAGATTGCATAGTGGAAAGAGAGCCAGAAGAGGCTGATACGGTGATTGTGATCATTGAATTCATGCTTCCTCTTCACCTCTATCATCCCTGCTATCACCATTGAGATTGCTGACAAAACAAGACCAACCCCAACTCTTTGTAGTTCTGTTATTCCATTGGGGTGGCCAGTGATTCTTCTGACAAGTGGTACAAAAACAAATTCGTAGACTGGTATCAAAAGGGTCATGAATACTAATGGAATTACGGGGATGGAAGCTGGTGGGATGTTAAGTTTGTCAATGTATGTGTTCATTAACGTTCCTTGTTGGATGGAGAAGGTTTGCAGTTGGGCTAAACACGTATTCATGATGATGGTACTCAGAAGAATCGGCATCATCCTTGTCAGAATCTTCACTTCCTCAACTTGTGTCACTGTGCAGACTTTCCATTTCCTTGCCTCAATGCCTTCAGGTAGAACAGCAGCTTTGTCTAAAACTCTGTTAGTCAACAAAACAGGTATTAAAAACGCGTCTTTCTTGAATATGTGCGTTACAAAATGCCTCTTGATATTCAGTACCAACGAATTTCAAGTGTTCACTGATAAAAAAACTCAAATTAGTATTTGTTTGTCTATTATCACCCTACCAAAAAAGTTGAACACTGTTATATTAAAAGCTTTTATTTCAACCCAAAATACAAGATTGGAACGTACCACTTTCTCTTACAGTGCCAGTGTAAAAAATGTAAACTGTTTAAGTCATGCTAAGAGATTTGGAAAGGCAATGACAGAAATATATATCCTGTTGAGATCTGAAAACAAGACAACAAAAAATCTAAACAAAATCGTGTCTTCAGATAGCTTCAAAAGGCACTAAAGAAACATTTAGAGGAGGTAGACTAGAAAGTCCAACCTGAATTGGTTAGTGTGAGGGATGATTTTTTTTTTCAAACTAGACTCGTGACTTTGTATTTCATACAACTCATCAGAATCCACGGGTACTTTCACCCTCCAATTCTTTATTGTGACCACCAGCACCTGCAAGAACAAGCCCATATGAAACTATTATGAACTTGAATGAATAGCAATGAAACATGGAGGGCAAATTGGAGCGACCTGTAAAACACTTAACAATGGACTCTCTCCCGGCACCCTGGTACGATAGAATCTCTTTCCCGAGACAATGCAAAGAAGACCAGCAGCAGAACATGAAAGAGAAATGATAAAACCTTTGTACCAATGATACTCTGTGCTGACATAAACTACAAAGATGACTCCTATGCTAGCCCCAACTGTAATGCTAAACAAAAACCAATTGAAGAAACTGGCTAGTTGTACGCGTTCTTTTGGTTTCTTCTCATCAAATTGATCAGCTCCAAGAGCAGGTACACAGCCTCTGATTCCACCACCACCAAGTGCTAGCAAGTATATTGAAGCGTATAAGAGCAAAGCTTTTGTGCCATGCACACATCTTGATTTTAAACATGGATCAGGCTGAAGTTTCTGGTCGTGGGATTGAATCACAACTAGGGAGTATCCCTGTAGTTCCAAAATATAAAGGTTTAGACAATGAGGAAAATGACTTCCACTTTTGTGTGTTTGTGTTTATGTCTGTGTGCATGTAAGAATCAGCAGACAGCAGTGAGAGCAATATAAATTTTGTGATTTTCAACAAATTTAAATTAATAATTGACTGTGTGTTGAAAGGATAAAGACCGAGACTCACATCATTCAGTAATATCCAACAAATTTCAACAAACATAATTTGTGTTGAGAAAGAACATAAAAAAATATATTGCTAGCATTTCTATATTTCCATTTGCACAGATTTAAGTTTTTGACCCTGAAATGAACATTAAGCAACTCAGTTTGTTTATACTTTACCAACAATTGAATTATGCCAAAGAGGATGCAAGTGTTGAGACGATTCATATAGGTATCAGAGACGAACCCTCCAACGATCGTCAGCAAGAAAGCAGTACCCAACAAGTTTGTTGTGGTGGTTGCAGAGCCAGAGTAGTCAAAATGCATGACAGTCATGAAATACAAAACCAAGCTTACCATGTTGGCCACAAAGCCTATGTTATCCAGCAACATCATTGCTGCAGTAAAAAACCAATGAATTTTCCTTTGTTAAACATATAATTCCATTTTACGTAAAGAAAGGTGAACAAAAAGTGAATGAGGGGAACATAGTTTACCCACCAAAGATGAAATATGTGGCTCTATATCCTCCTTGTCTCGTAGTCTTAGCTGCTTGGTACTCAACATCTCCAACGTTACCCTCAGCTTTCAAATCCTTCATTGTAAAACATCAAATTTAACTAAGCAAATGAATTAGCCAAACAACAATGTGAACCATAAAACTGTGAACCGGCCAAAGTCTAGAACTGCAATTTTGCTGGCAATGTGCAGATAGTTACCATGACTGAGGAATGGAATGCCACAGCTAGAAAGCAGCAACCAATCTGAGAGAAATAGGAAGGAAAGTTTTGCTTTCAGTGCAATCCGTGAGAAAAGTGTACTTTATTTATAATGATCACCAAGTTGCTTTCATGACAAGGATGACACGGAAAACATGCTGATGAGTAATCATACAGTGCACTGTGAGAAGGGTATCTCCATTGGGTGATACCGTTGGCAAATTGGTAGCTAAACCGGCTACATGTATTATACTCTTGGAATTTTGTGAGGTTTTGATCTGACTGATAATATTGTCCGTCCATGAACTGCACCAAACTCTGGACGTTTCAATGAATACAAAACAAACCAAAAGTGATCCAACAACATCGTTAATATCTGAGTCTCCCAACTTTACTCAGCAACAGTTCATCTTTGATCTCTTCTCTTGTCTTTCACAGTGTGATATTTACAGGTCTAATAACCTCTACGAGAAAAACTTGATTTATTGACAAACAAAATTCATAGGAAAAAAAGTAAAAATTCTTAAAAAATACAAATTATGGATGAGTAAAAATCCAATAAAAATTTCATTACTGATAAATATTATTGATGGATTTGAGCTATCTGTCAATAAATTTTACTGACAAATTTAAATTATCTATAAATAATATTTTATTGATAAAATAATAATTATCTAAAGATATATTCACTTTTAATTATTAAAGACTATATTTGGATCTATCCATTAGAAATTTTATTTTTTTGATATAATAAATTTTTTGTGGTAAACTATTCTTTAAGAGTTATGAAATCATACTAAATTAAAAATTTGGATGTTTATAAAACTGTTTTTTAAATAAAAATCTATCCACTTATTTATATATATATATATATATATATATATATATATATATATATATTCTATTTTAATTATATTTTTAATAAATATAAATCTCCTAGTCAAATTTCCAAATATCCAAACGCAACTTAATAATAAATCAAACCGCACGCTTTGTGCTGGTCGAGTGATATTTACGTCCACGCAAAATGAGAAGAGGGGAATTAAGAGTGTACTTCAAAATTTTAAATATATGAATTTTAATTATAGTATAATTTATCTTTTTTTTTCAACATGTTGAAAATTATATATTATAATCATGAATTATATCAATAAAAAATAAAAATAAAAGACTCAAAACGAGTTGAATGTATTAAACATCTAAAAAATGCATATTCTAAATACCACTAAACCAAATTCAGAATCAATAGATAACTATCTATGTAATTTTTTTCAATCTTAATACATTATCCAAGGACTAATAAATTTTATTAAAAAAACTGATACCTATGTAGTCCATACTAGTTATTAAATTAAAACCTAAATAAACTGCATAAAAAAATGACATAAATAAGAATAACCTAAAATAAATTCAATTAATGACTATAACGTGAAATGAGTATCGTATGTTTGCATCAAGTTGAATCCATCAAAGCATTCCTGCAATGTTTGGTGAAAGAAAAGTTGAAGTGAGTGTAAAGTGATTTTCTCATAAAACACCTGCAAAGCTTCAAGATGAATTCACAACATAATGTTCATGTAGTACAGTAGCATTGTTTATATTGAGTTAACAATGAAGAATATTTGAGTCTTATTTTCATTTCTACTGTAGCTTTGTTTTTTTTAGCTTTCTTGCTAACTGATAAGATCCACCGTGAAAGTTAAGTGGAGTTTCGTTAAGGATGTCTACCCAAATTATCAATCTACACAATACGAATGAACGTGCCGTACTTCACAAGCAGCGGTTGACAGTTAACTTCCTGGTCCAATTTGGGCTCGCCATTCGCTTGTTAGGTTGAAAAGAAAGAGAACAAAAATAGGCTCCTTCTTATTCTACTTTGTACATCCATAATTTTTTACTGTATCCTTTTTATTAATTTTTATTGAAAATCCTAATTTTTTTTTAGTCTTGCTCTCCTCTACCTCTCTATATCTTTTTGCACCTTCATAATTTCTTTATTTTTATTTTGCTATCTTTCTATTTCTGGAAGATCAATTTCAACTCATAAGATTATAAATAATTAATATTTTGTAATTATTATAAAATACTCATCTTAAAGTCCATGAAAATTAGATTGAAAATGTCCATAAAATTTTGAATTGCTCAATTTAAAATTCAATTTTAAATATGAAAAAAATTATAAAATAATTAATTTACAATGTATTTCTAAAACACACAATCTAAAAATACATTTCCATACTTATTTTTGAATCACATAATTCATAAATACATTTTAAGTTAATTATTTTAAAGTTTATTTTTAGACTAGATATTTCATAAATATATTTTGAATTGGATTTTTTAAAATTGTCAATTTAAAATATTTATCCAAAACAATTAATTCAGAATAGGATTTATTTTAATTACGAGATAAAAAAGAAATTATGAAGATACAAGAGAAAAAAACAGAAAAAAAAATCACAAAACAATAAACTTATTATGTTAACTTTATAATCCGATTTCTTACTATATTATCTCTTCTTTATACCTCTTCAACTAAATTCCCTTAATTTTAAATGTATGTTTCATTTATTTCCACCCTGTTTCTTTCCTTTCTATCAAAGATTATCTTCAATGTAATTGGCACTGAAAATATCAAAATCAACCAAAACCAACTAGAATTTATTAGGTATAAATAGGTCATCCGACCTGTAATCCACCCAACTCAATTGAGTTGAATATTATTTAATACATTTAATTAAAATTAAATTGAACAACGAATTCATGATTTTCAAACTCCAAATTCCATAAATTTAACCCCACATACTATACAGTAAAAATGTAATAAAAAACATCACTTATGTTAGAATTTTATTGTAAAAATTATTAAAAATGTTATTATTGCCTTTTAATTATTAAGAAACATTAAAAATATTCATTGTAAGATATTTTTTAGTAAATAATTTTTTTAATTACTCAATTAAATGACCTAATTCACAAGTTAAATTAGGTGGAATTGCTAAATAAAAAACTAATAAACTTGATTGAACCCAATCCAAACGACTTATAGCTAACATCCCTTTCGTATAGTAAGAGTCCGAAGAAATAATAAAATTCATGTATTGATTGGCTCCGGTGAGTTATTTTGCTAGCCTAGCATCATAAAAGAAACACAACGCATTGATTGGTTGGGTAAGAAAAAATACTTAAAGTTATAAATATTTCTATATCACAAAATTAGGGAACAAAAATTCGCTGCGGTGGGAGGGGGGAGGACTGAAAGCCCGTACGGCCTCGTATGTTCAGTTTCACTGTTATACACTAAACAGTAAAAGCTATGAGAAACTAAAATAAAAATATGTAAAAACATAGTATGTTATTCAGCAACCTGGTGATTTCAGTTCTGGATCATCCTTCCCTTTGATCAAAATAGTAAATTGAGGCCAAACAAATCAAGACATCCGTAAGAATAAGATTGAACACATCGAAAACAAACTTCGGAGCAAATAAACCCCAAACCTGCAACAAATTATTAAGCATTGAGTAAACTGTACTAGCATCAAATATGAACGCATGGGTAAATGAAAAACATTTTTGAGTAAAAACTAGCAAATTTACCATCAGGTGCCGCCTTTGAATTGTGACACATAATATCGTGAAAGTGGTTGTAATTGCTGTGATGAGCCCATATGTTGTATACATCTATAAAAAACATTGAGTAGTTATACATTGAACAAGCAATGCATGCAATGATCAACTAGTGGATCTACTGATAAATGAAGAAAACTCACTTGAGATAATTGTATGAAAATAAAATTCTTTCCAAGATTAGCCTGGCACTTGATTGCTACAAGGAATGGGAGTCCAAATACTGGAAGGATGATAGAAAAGCCAAATGTATCAATAGCAAGGAGGATTGCTTGCCGAACAAGCACAAATTCTTCAAACCTGAAAATTAATCAGTGTCTCAATGATTTGATTTACCAATTGTACAGCAATAGTAACTACAAAGATGACCCTTTAAAAGCGAATAACTGATTAATCGAACGGAAATAAATTTAATATTGGGTTGATTGTAATGGTTACATTTGTTTAGAAGCCCCAATATAAGTATACTAATAGTTATTTACCCTATAAATGCAGCGCCGTACCGGAGCCCATCAAATGCACACCTGAAATCATAATTTTCAAAAGTCTATACAAGACAAAGGGAATGCAGAACAGAGAAAGTTGCAATGTTATACACCTATTAAAAATGATAATTATAACTCCAAAATTAAACCTTGAAAGTTACAGCATACCAGTGACCACTACAGAAGAAGAGACATGTAGCAAACAGGCTCCATTGCATTATAGAAAAACTTCTATGAGCTCCATCCTGACCACCTTCTATGTTAACAAACTTCATAATAAAATAACCTGGAATATACAGAAAATTAAACATTTCTTCACTAAAGAGCATGCAGCTTTGTGCTCATGAAATTGACCACTAATCGGCAATACCCGGTCCTAATCTACAAATATTAGCAAAGCATAAGTAAAGCCTGCAAGAAATGCATTGGAGAATTATCCAGCAAGATATAGCCAATTTATACAACATAAGAGCAGAAAAAGAAAGACCACCTCCAACTATGGATGCAAAAGCAACCATGGGACCCTGTTTTCCGGAGAGAAGAATGACAGTAGAACTCCATGCAGATAATATGGATGTCGTTTTTGCAACTAAATTTGTTTTGCAGTCTAAATTGCTATTCTTAAATAATTGACCAAATGCTAGAAATAACAACTGTCCCAAACCAATAGCATAGATGATTCTGGGAATATAAGTTCTTCCAATGCTTTGAGGTATGGATCCGCCATCAAATCTGTTACTGTCTGCGATCCAATGTGCAACTATTAGCATATAACTCAAGATAGTGCCCAGTATGACATACTTCCATGGCCAAACAAAAAAGCTCCCACTGCTGGCCTTGTAAAGCCAAGCTGCCAACAGAATCAGAACAACCATTGGGACAACTTCAGCTGCATAGTCCCAAACAGGTAAACCTGAGGCTATGTTGATGATCCAAGAGCTATAGTCCTTCATGAAAGCAGATGTAGCAGCCTGCTTGGACAGCCCAACTTCAATTGCAAATCGACAGAAAGTGCTCAAAATAAGAAACCCAATGCTCTGCAGAAATGATAAACAAGTTCAAGAGCCATTTAATTAGAATTCAAATAAAACTTCTATAGGCCCACATGCGTTAGAATGTAAGGAAGTAACAGATGTTCACTAGGCTTTTAGACAGAGGAGAGAAAAACAAAACCTAACAAAACAAAACACATACTTCGATTTGCAGCTTCCCCTTGATAACTGATTGGCGTAACGTCACAATTCCAGATGTGCTCAAAAGAAAATTTGCTACTTTCCCTTCCTCCACTGACAAAAAAGACAGTGAAAAATACAATGACTATTTTAAACATTCTGGATAATGGAAGTGGAATGTATGTTGAAAATACTTTCCACTTACAGATATAACTGTTTGAAAGGAAACTGCATGCACGAATACCCAGTAAAAAGATAGTAAATATTGAGCCACTGATAATCCAAGAATCTCCAGATGATGACAATGTCCCATCATGCTCCTTGTTTGCCCTTAAAATGGTAAAAACTTGAAATATAACTGATATTAACATGATTCCAATGCCAATTCCCATCATGTTCAAATCAAATTCAGTCCATTTAGACCGAGCTAACTCAGTGACTGCTGTTAGGAACTTGAAGTATGCATCAATTTGCTTCTTAAGTGCAGGCACTGATGTAGCATTGTTATTTTGTCTATCAAGCAGAAGATATTTGGTGGAATTTGACCAATGATTCTCCGCATGAGCATAAATGCTTGCTATTCGTGATAACTCATCATGGGAAAATCCAACAGCTGTTGAAGCTGAGTAAGCATCTATATATCTCTTCACCTAGACAAGGAGAAAATCATTATTCAAAAGCCTAAATGATATCTCATACACACTCTCCGAACTGCTTATATCTTCACTGGTGCAATTATGAGAAAGAAAGGGCCATATGTGTTTGTGTGTAAAACAAAGTGCATTTGTTAGTACTCATATGTTCAAATGAGAAATAATATATTAAATAGTTCACTGTCTATCTTGGTGCTTGAACAGCATTGTGGTATCAACTATCAAACTGAAACAGAAAACCTATTTTTAAAAAGAAAGCATGGGGTTCTCAAAAGTACAAACAAGAAGTTTGTTAAATGAGACGGGAAGAAGAGAGATTTCTGTGTTTTAAAGTCAACAAATATTTCAAAAGGAGAAATTAGAGCAAATGCTGCATCCAAGAAAGGGAGGCAGAAAAATTCGAGTAGAAAATTTGTAGAAACAGTAACTTGTAATTAAGAATATAAGATTCAGAAAGTACCTGCCAAGAATTTATGCAAAGTGCATTAGCATAATTCTGCATCCATACATCTGGTTCTGACAATTTTTGAGAGGCATCAGAATTCCAACTATCTGCCCCCAAAGCATATAATTCAGGATTGATGTGACCGATGCTGATGACCAAGAAAAAGATGTTGAGTACCAACATAGTTCCCATCAGGAAATTTTTAAAATGAATTACATTTAAGAAAATGCAAAACCAGACATCAAAAATAGAAGCTTCCAGATTTAAGAAGGGACATACAGACAGGACAGCAACGTGACTAATCAACAAGGCTTAATTCCAGAAATCTGGAGGCTTATACACACAAGATTAATGTTTTGATGCACTATATATTTGTTGGAATTGACTGAAAGAATAACAGGTGCTTCATTTCATAATTTTCTTTTATGATGTATATGTTTAGTGTTTCAATCAAGACTGTGTAGGTAAAATTTCTGAATCCCTCTGGCAACGCTAAATGCTGGATTATGATAGATATCTACTTAGGCACAATAGCTCAAAAATTTTATAATACATTCATCTATCCTCTCAATGATTTTCTGTAAATTCCCAACACCAAATAACGCATAAAACAATACTTTCAAGCCATAAATAGCCTATGCCTTTGCAAACCACCTTAAAACATCAAATACTGAATCAAAATTGAGACCAAGATAACCTTTCATTCAACCCACAGCTCATACAGGAAAACAAAATGTTACTGAGAAATATAGAAAATCAGTTGAGTCAATATATTAAGCTAATTATATAGCTATACTAATATATAACAACTGAAAACAGTAGTAATATAGACAGGATGCTTACACTGCACCTTCCATATGGGAAAGGTATGCCAAGCATAGCTGAGACTGTTACTGCAAAGTCTAGCTGTAAAGGATGATAAGGAATTAAATAAATATAGATATCAAATTATATATGAGGTGTTCAAAATGCCATTATAAAAGGACAAGGTTTGCTAACCTGCTGCATGGAGCTGATACAAACATTCTTCCCATCCTGAAATGTAATTTACCCAGAAAAATATTAAAATCCAAGCACAGAATTACAAAGATCAATGTCAGCTTCATGATTGTTGGAATCACTAATTAGAGTAACATGTATCGCACTACCTATGAGTAGAATGAATAGTTATCCAAGTATATCCTTTATGTTACATATGCATGAGGTCAATGTTATAGTTTACCAGTGCCCTCTCAATAAACTTATTTATACATAACTAATATTATTCTACAACTCCCAATTATGCTCTCCATTTCTTGATTTTTCTGGCACTAAAGGTAATGACCATGCAGAACAGGAAGCAAAATATTGTTGGAATTTGAAAGTGATAAAAGAAACATAAAAGACACCAGCATGTTTATTGTCTGTGTTTAAACTTTAGAAGGAACAGTAAATACCAGATCCTGTTGACAAGAGCAAGAATCAAATTCTGCAGGTACAGAAGAAAGAGGCTTCTTAAAACTCATGGCAAAAATGGCAGTTTCAACCTGCATGATTTTATCTTAAGTATCCTAAGTCAAATAGGGAAAAATATATAATGAGAAAATAAGAAAAAAACACATATGTAAAAACACTATATGTGCTATACAAACCTCTTCAGCACTCCCACCACCATGATCTCCATTTAGTGTTTGTCCATGGTCACCCATGACTACAAGCAAAGTATTCTCATGTGAGCTCCCAGGTCCAGACTGATTTTCCAGAACGTCAATAACTCTCTAAAACAACTTCCGTTAGTTTGTTTATTAACTGATGGAAATCAGTAAATACTAAACTAACATATTTGGATAAAACATGAACACGAGATTACCACAAATATTGTAAAATCAAGAATTACAAAAAACTAACCTCTAAGATGGTATTGTATTGCTCCAACTTTTCTATCATTGGGGTGGAGTCAACACCAAATATATGTCCTGCGTGATCCTGAACCAAGAAGAATACCATATACAGCATGGTGCTTATCATAATGGTGTGGAAAACGAGAACTGGAATAACAGGGTATAGATTATGAATATTAGGATTATTGTGTCTACAGCACGAAATAATATCAAACATACCACGCCAAGGAAATGTGCAATAAGAACATCCCAATCTTCTTCATTTAGAGATGGTAATAGGTGGTTAATGCATCCATTGTCGACCTAGAAAATAAACAGCAATATTTCACATTCATTGAAATGATGGATCAAACAAAAGGACTAAAGGGACCCCTGCTCAGTTCACATATACTGCAAGGATTTAAAGACTACTCAAAAGTCAGGTTTAATGTGACAGAAGGCCTACCGTATGAAGATCTTTGACATTAAAAGACGGGTATGGATATGATCTTTCAAAATGATGAGGAAATAACTGAGTCCATGTGTCATCCCCCATCATGACAACTTTCTTCCCATTTTGAACCAACTGCACGTGAATACATAAAAAATTGGCAGAAATTTAACGAGAACCGGTTTCAATCTGGGACCAAGTAGTAAAGCAATATTTCAATGACAAACATTACAAACAAGGTTTTAAAATTCGACCACAATGTCAAGGATTCTCTACTCACTATGACGGCATTGCAACCTCAATTGTTCATTTACCCATAATATCAAGCATCGCGACGAAACCACAATCGCTACTACAACTCTAATTCCTAGTTTACAAGCAAGAAAACCTACCTGATTTATGAAGTTATCTTCCACAATTTCCGGTGCACCAAAGCTATTACCAACATCCACGAAAGTCGGAAGTCCACCAGTTGTCAAACCCTACATCAGTTCAAGATACGGAACATCAAATCCCGATTTCATAGACATTCAAAAGAATCTAGCAACAGAGAACGTTACAATACTAATTGATAATTGCAACACGAAGAATTCACGAAAATGAAATCGATTAGACCTTCAAGCGCTGCAAACTTGTGGTAGGCGGATCAGCAATGGCTTTGAAAATCCTAGCGGACAACGGTCGGGTCGACGCCGCATTCTTCAAAACTCGCAGTTTATCCATCCACGGTTTCGATTCTGTCACACAACACAACAAACTCGTGAGAAAAAGTAGAAAAAATCGTTTCGCGAGTGAAGAATAGGTTAGTCAGGTAACCTGCGAAGAATGTACTGGGAGCAACGAAATCAAACCTGAAACGTGAATCACATAACATAACGCGATTAATGAATCATGATAATGGTGAACAGCATCCACATATAGTAGAGTACCTGAGAGCATCGAGAACGATGAGAACGAGACGGTTAACGGCGGGTTTGGTCCAGCAAGATCCATTGTTGGAAGAGAAGCAAGGGGAGCGTGACACGTCGGAGCAATGACTGTGGTAGGGAAGCTCGGTTCGGGTGAGGAGAAAACCGGTGGTGAAAAGGAGAATGGCGAGGAGGTGGAGCAACAGCGTCGTCCACAGTGGCCAAATGTAACCCCACTTCCCACGCTTCCTTCTCCGTCCTTCCTCCGCCGCCTCCGATGGCGACGTCGTTTCCGATTGCTTCATTCCACTACCCCGTTTCCGTCTACCTCTTCCTGTTCTGTTCAGTTAATCGATTCACCTAACTTGCTTCGTGTTTGCGTCAAACTATTCCTAAATTCATCTTACAATAATTTTTCTTTTCCGGTTTAGATATAATTTAAGATAATTTCTCTTTCTTTGTTTTGTTTGTGGTCGTACTACTTTTTTCTCCATTTTTAAACTCTCTCTATATATATACATTTTTTTTGTGTGTGTGTTTTAATTTTTATTGTTAACTGATTTGAATTTTTAAAATATTTTATCATCATATAGTTTTAAAATTTTAAAGTATTTTAAGAATAAAATAATGTTGGTTTATAAAATATTGAAATAAGTAGTTAATTTGAAAAGCTGAAGGAGTTATTGGGAGAGAAGAAAAGAAATGGTCACACAAATTTTTATTTTGTTTAATTATATCATAATTACATGTCGCAAAATGGGTCATGAATGCATTATATATCCTTACCAACTAGTAAATCAATTGTCAATATTTTTATATATAATTTATATATATATATATATATATATTAATTATAAATATTTTAAGTTTTTTATTAATTAATATTTTTATTAAATAAATTAAAAATATATTATAATTATATATTAAAACACTTAATTATAATTAATAATTTAAATTTAATTAATTAATATTTATAATTTCAGTTAAAATTATTTGATCCATTAATTTAAAGCAAATTAGTAAACCTAATTCATTTTAGAATCACTAACCATAATCTTATAATTTAATTCAACCTTATTTATAAATTATTAGCATTAGTAATAAGATGTGTGCGCAACATTTGCAAGGGTAAAATATATAGTTACGGAACACTCTAATATATAGTAAAACAAGTTATTAGAAAAAAATAAAAAACTATTTTTTTAAAATAAATATATTTTTGTGTTACAATTTTTTTTAATACATTTTACTCGCTCCCAAAATAATAGAAATTAAGGATTTGTTTGATTTTTTATTTTCAAGAGAAATTTTTAATTTTATTTTATATAAATTTGTTTAATAAATATTTTGTTAAAAAGAATAAAATACTTTTTATTTTTTAGTTTTAAAAAATAAATTTTTTTTTTTAGTTTTCAATTTTCATATTATTTTCAGAAATAGTTACAGGACAACATTTTAATTGTCAAGTTTTTTTTTTAATTTATATTTAAAAACTAAAAAACTATATAAAAGAACTTCTAACTATATTCTAAATATCCTAAATTCATTACATTATAAACAAATCGAAATTCGAATAATGAAATGAGAAATGTTCGTATTTAATGATCAATCTATCTTAAACCAGAACAGAATGCTATATCCATCGAAAGAAAAAAAAATTGAATGCTGTATTCTACTTAAGGGAAAAATAGTAGCAATTCCATTTCACATGACAAACTAAGAACTTTTTGAATTAGGGGCATGGGTTTTGATAAAAACTTAAACAAGTAGCGATTAAGTAACCTTGCGACAACATCGTTAACTGTATTTCTCGTACTTGGGTGGAACAACATACGAAATAGTCCACTAATCGAAACTCTCCGTTCTTGTATTGTATGTTGCTAAGTGCTGAAGCTACTTCGTTTACCGTACGGGAAGTTGCATTATCCTTCGCGAAACTACGCTGTGGTTTCCATGCAATGTTAATCAAAGTGCTCTTCGTAGCACCAAAGTGAAAAATCGAAGGAGCCATACTTCTGTGTCTTTTTAGACGAAAGGGTAGCAAAATGTTAACACTTCCTTCTTACCCACTAGTTATTATTAGTTACCTAGGAACCGTATCATGCTTAAATTTATATATGAATGCCATGTTGCACCTGTGTTGTAGATCCGTGCCTGCACTATAACGTAACTTGCTTTAAGAATCAGTTCTAAATCAGGTATCTGTTTTTTTTTTTCAACTTTATCATTAGATATCATACTATAGAGCTAGTTATACATACATGCACTGTGAACTTTATTAAACAGCTGAAAATGTCTTTAACGTGTTGAATTACCAGATGAGTTGAGAACATGGCTTTCAAGTTTTTGCTGGTTGTGACATGTGTGTGTGCTTGGTTTGGATCCTTGGGTCTTACGACTTCTGATAAGGGGTTATTGAAGGTTGGTCTAAAAAAGAGGAGTTTGGACATTAACAGTTTTAGTTCTGCAAGGATCATGGAGGTTGTTCATCATTTAAAACCAGATACAGTGTATCTGAAGAATTATCTTGATGCACAGTATTTTGGGGAAATTGGAATTGGGTCACCTCCACAAACCTTCAGAGTTGTGTTTGACACTGGAAGCTCGAATCTCTGGGTTCCTTCTTCCAAATGTGTCTTGTCTGTAAGTTAGCTAGCCTATGATCTGATGCAATTGAATACTCCTTCAGTTTTTTTTTTATTCAACTGAGTTTATTTTTAAAACAAGATATATGACTACCTGCAGATTGCTTGCTATTTTCATTCCAAGTATAGGTCCAAGCTATCAAACACTTATACGAAAATTGGTAAGTCTGAAGTAGCATGACATTGAATATGAAATTATTCCATTAGGTTTTACATGTACAAAGCTTGTACTTGTTGTAGTGAGGAGTTTAGTAAGCACCAACACACTTTTTCTTATTAGTTGAAATCCATGTTACCATCAACTAGCTCAAGAACACGACCTACCAAATGGGAAATGAAACTCACATATTTAGTGAGGCCTACATGAATTTCACCAGATAAATGAGTGTATCAGATAATCTGTTGCTAGCATTTGTCTTGTTGTAATTATAATGCTTTTGTTTGGAAAATCTCCAGGAACACCTTGCAAGATTCCTTATGGCCATGGACACATTCCTGGCTTCTTAAGCCAAGATAATTTAAGAGTAGGGGAACTCATCATCAAAGATCAGGTCAGTCTTACGACTAATTAGTATTGTCATTCAATGGGTTTTATGGTCTTCAAATATATTTGTACGTTTGGTGTTCTGATGGTTAGTTGCTTTCCATCCAGCAATTTTCTGAGATTACAAAGGAAGGACCTCTAGCGTTTTTAGCACATCATTTTGATGGGATACTTGGACTTGGATTCTTGAATAAGTCAGTGGGACAAGTCACTCCAGTGTGGTAATTAATCCGTTTGTTTATTATAATATTCCTTGCTATATTTGATCTTGATTTTTCCCTTTGAATAATGAGTGAACAAGGGCATATGCTTAGTGCTGTAATTGTCTTTGGTGGGAAAAGGATGGAAGAAAAATGAAACTATACCCTTAGAGCTTTTGATGCCTCAAATACAGTGATTAGTTCTGTGAATTCAGGTACAACATGATAAAACAAGGGCAGGTGTCTCAAAAGATTTTCTCCCTCTGGCTAAACCCAGATCCAATGTCAAAGATAGGGGGTGAGATTGTCTTTGGTGGTATTGACTGGAAGCATTTCAAGGGTGACCACACTTATTTTCCACTTACTCATAAAGATTATTGGCAGGTCTACTATATTTACAGTTTTATTTATTTCTGTTTAGCTCTTAGCATCAACCATGTCACTATTGACATTTTGTGTTGTCATCTCCAGATTGAGGTGGGAGATGTACTGATTGGAAACGATCCAACAGGTTCTCTCCCTTTCATTTCTGTTCTGCTTGATGTTAATCTACTTGCCTTGTTTTTTCATTGTTTCTCGTAGCTAAGAAGGATATTGATGAATAAAATATATGTAAAGATTAAAATTGCTCAAGATTCTATGTCAGTTACACATTGCTAAATTGTCCAGGTCTTAATTTTTCATTGAATTTCTCCTATACATTCATTCTCACAGCATCAATGTGTTTTTGACTGCCAACTTATGCCACTGATTCTAATTCACTTCTTCAAATTATTCCATAGACTTGACTTACAAAATAAAATTTGAATTTACAGGGCTGTGCGCGGGTGGTTGTGCTGCTATTATTGACTCGGGAACCTCTTTGATTGCCGGTCCAACTGTATGATCTCAACATGGTCTTGGTACTTTTTTGGTTCTTTTTTTTATTGGTGTCTCTTTTCTTACAAGTTTTCGTTTGCAGAAAATTGTGACTCAAATTAACCATGCCATTGGAGCAGAAGGATATGTGAGCTATGAATGCAAAAACATCATCCATAACTATGGCGATTCCATATGGGAATATATTATTTCTGGGGTTTGTTCTGTGTACCTTTCCCCTTATACTCATAGTGATTATCCAAACTCCACTGGAAATTTAACTATCCTTTATATATTCTATGTCTTCAGTTAAATCCTGAAGTTATATGCGTTGACATTGGACTTTGCTCCCGTAATAGAACATACATAAAGAAGTACAATACTTTTCATTTTCCTCCATCTGTTTCATGTATGACACATTCTGTTTCAATTCTCTTAACCAAAGTCTACTCTCAACCTGCAGTGACGTTATTGAAACAGCGGCATATAATGAAAGTTGGGGTGAGTCAACAGCAAAGGAGAGCCCCTTGTGTACTTTTTGTGATATGATAGTCTTTTGGATCCAAGTTCAGCTAAAGCAAAAGAATACAAAGGAAAAAATATTAAAATATGTGGATGAGGTAATTGTTGTACAATGGATTACATCTCAGAATTATCCTTTTTTACTTATGAATTGAGTATTCTCAATAACTCTACTTTTCCACTTAAGCACTAAAGCTCGTTGTTTTCTTTATCTGTAAAAGCTGTGCGAGAAGCTTCCCAACCCCGTGGGACAAACATTTATAGACTGCAACAATATTGACACCATGCCACAAATTACATTCACTATTGGAAACAAATCATTTCCCCTCTCTCCAGAACAGGTTTGAGTTTTATGATCAATTTTTCTAGGCCCAAATAACTTTTCTGCTGTTTTACGTTGTTTCTTGTCACTAGTATTATATTTATATTAGCTACCTAGTTCAAGTTGCTTTATCTCTGTCCAATTGAATTAAAGATGTTTGAAACTAAATATAGCTAAGCTTTTATTGCTTGACTCCATGTTTGGTCACTAATACGTAACAGTTTAGACATTTAATATTCCTTTTTGTTCTCAGTATATGGTAAGAATTGAAGAAGGTTGCTCCACTGTCTGCTACGGTGGTTTTGTTCCTCTAGATGTGCCACCACCACAAGGTCCCCTCTGGTAATGAATAATAGTCGAATGAAATTACTGCAGCATATTATTATTAGTATTAGTAATAGTATATGACAGTTGAAGTATGGTTGCAGGGTTCTTGGAGATATTTTCTTGGGGGCATATCACACAGTGTTTGACTATGGCAATCTCCGTATTGGATTTGCTGAAGTTGCTTAGCCTTAATTTGGTGTCATTACTATGCCAGATTGTTTGTAGGAAAAATCTTAAAGAAAGAAATAAAGGTTTATAGAATTTTATAGCATTTAAAAACTGCAGACCCTGGAACTTCAGTGCTGCAGGGTCTCTTGTAAATGTTGATTAGTAATTTAGTATAATTCATGAATAAAACTTGTTTCGCATTTTCTCTATGATCGTAACCGTGGTGCAAAATATAAACAAATGGTATTATTGCCTGGAATCAAATTTAGATCAGTGCTATAGCAGGGTAACATTCTACCATGCTGTTTGTCAATATATCAGATACAGATACATTTGAGGAGTCTAAGTTTTTTCTTACAAAAATCTACAAATTTTGTAAATTAAACTCAAAAATAAATTATGAAACTTGTTTTTTTCCTTTATCGCCAATTCATATTACAACGATTATCATTTAAAATAAAAGTCTAAAATACGAATCCTGAGTAAGGTAAACTCATAATAAGACTGTAAAAAATAAATGGAAAATGTAATTTACAATATTAATTAAATAAAAGGAACATTTCCTTCATTTTTTATAGAACCCAATTCAAAATTTTAAAAGTAATTAATTTAGTTAATAATATTAAATTTATATATTTTTAATTTCTTTATATATTTGGTTCTTTTCGTATTACACCAACTTTCATTCCTTTGATTTTTCTCCATTATAAATATATTTAATATTTTAATTTTCATTAAGATTGTCAAAATGATTTTCACTGTGCAATGCAAAATTAAATTCACAAAAGATATAAATTATAATTTGATTGAATAAAAAAGCTTGCAAGACTTCTAATTTTGATGCGTTATAGGGGAAGCTCAGAGAAAGTTGCCGAAAGGTGAAGGAAAGGTCTAGATTATTCATGGAGGGTTGAATAAATACGTTTCTTGGTCTCCAAGGCCATGCTATTTGTTTTCTCTGTAAATAATTGGGCGTCGATTAAATTTTGTGTGTGTGGAATCGGAATTTGGCGATTGCGGCAATGGAAGTGAGAATTGGGCAAAGGGTTTCTCGGGGAATGCTTCCTCTTCTCGCTCTCCACACCTTCAGCGAGTATTACCGGTCCGAACGCAAACCTCCTGTCACCGCCGCTCTCATCGCCGCCAACACTCTCGTCTATCTCCGCCCCTCCCTCTTCGATTCCCTCATTCCTCCCATCCAACAAGTCTGGTTCAACCCTCACCTCATTCTCAAGGTCACTTTCTCAATTCCTCTTCTAATTACTGTTATCGTTTCGTTTTAAGCTTCTAGATCCTGATTCTAATTCTGTTAACAGAACAAGGACTTGAAACGCTTCCTGCTGTCGCCGTTTTACCACATCGGCGAACCGCACCTTGTCTACAACATGCTATCGCTTCTCTGGAAAGGGTTTCAGTTGGAGACGTCAATGGGAAGCGTCGATTTCGCTTCCATGGTTGCTTCCTTGCTTCTCCTCTCCCAGGGCGTTACCCTAATCTTATCCAAATCCCTGCTTCTCTTCTTCGACTACGACAAACCCTACTATAGAGAATACGCTGTTGGCTTCTCCGGTGTCCTCTTTGCCATGAAAGTCGTTCTCAATTCCCAATCAAGCGATTACTCCTACGTCCACGGAGTTATCGTTCCCTCTCGTTACGCCGCTTGGGCCGAGTTGTTTCTCGTTCAGCTTCTCGTGCCGGGTGTCTCGTTTATTGGGCATCTCGGTGGCATTCTCGCAGGGCTTCTTTATATGAAATTGAAGAGCACTTATTCGGGTTCTAATCCCATAACGTTGCTGGTTAGAGGGGTGACTGATATTGTGAAGTGGCCTTTCAAGTTCTTGCCGCGGCGGGGAAGGATCACTGGAAGAGGAACTGTAGGAAGTAACAGGGCGTGGAGATGCCAGACATGTACGTATGAGAACAATTCTGGGTTGCGGAGTGTGTGCGAGTGGTGTGGGACGAGTAGGGGTGTCGATGGGTTCTCTTCTTTTCAGAGTAGTTCCCGTTCTGATGGGCTTCCTTTGGATGAGTTGCGCCGCCGGAGACTCGACAGATTTGCGAGGTAACAAGTTCTGCTAAATAATACAATTGGATACGGAGTGTGGAGATTGAGATTTCGTATATGTGACACCTTTGGTTTAAAGGTACGTGTGTTATAGAATTATGATGACAGGTTATCTTACATCGAGCAATGAGTCTTTTCATGCTTTATTGATTTGGCAGATTTTTTCTTTAACAAAATATGGTAGATTTTCATGGTATATTTTTCAATCAAAATTAGTATTTCATTGAAGCTTAATACTAAAATCAAGCGCATAATGGCTGATGAAGGTGAGCCAAAAAACGGCCGTATCAAAAATATCAAAACCACATACTATAACATTATTTATAAAATTATCTATATCAAATAAAGTCTTAAACATATTCCATTGTGTTGGGTGCCTGGCATTATCTTTGAAGTCGAAAATAATTGGGAACAATGTTTTATAAGCAAACAAACAAACAATTAATTATGAAATTGAAAAGAAAGAAGACAGAGAACGCTACAAAGAGCAACTAGATGAAGAAGATCACGGGAAACGAGGAGAAAAGACAAAAAAAAAAGGGAAATGTTTAGAAGAAGGTTCTCATTCGTAAAAGATGACTTATTGTGTTCAGGTTGGGGTTGCTTAAAAATGGGTCAAATCCAAAATCTTGTTTTTTTAAAACAAAATATAATGGAATAAGTTGATATTTACCATATACTTTCACAGCTTCAATATGTTTGTATGACACATACGTACTAGTTGACCGATCCTTGAGTGCAAGTCATTTTGGCTCTTTTATCTTACCGACACTAATCCTTATTCAAATCTTTGTAAGTTGATTGAAATCTGTTAGTGGCAAATCGAGAAAAGCGATCGAAATCGAAGGAAAGAAATGTGACTCGATAAGATAAACAAAAATTCATTCGATGTCTAATTAGAAATAGCACAATCGAGAATCAAACGAATAATAATCAAATGACTGTTGTCGAATAAAAACTAAGTCATGAAAGACCAGGGTTAAAAAGGAATCGTAAGCAATTTGAAGTTCCCAAAAAATACAGAATCGAGGGTAAGGAAAGTCAATGTGGACATCGAGACTTTGGCCAAATCGTGAAAGGAAGTAAGTCGAATGCACGTATAAAGAGCAGTTTTAAAATCATGGGAAAAAGTCGGAGATCGTGAAGAACGTGGGAAACTATAGAAGATAAACGGCCATACGCACGTAGAACGTGGTAGCAGTCGTGTTAACTGCTCTTAGAAGGATACCCTATAAATAGAGCAAAGGAGGAAAGGAGGGGGGCGTAAATTGGCGAGAACGGGATCGAGAGTGAAAAGTCTACCTGAGAAACGACGAACACCATGAAGCTTCCGGCAATCTGGATTTCCTTGCTCACCGAGTACATTTACCGCTTTCGTATTTTCCTTGGTAATTTACTTTGATGCAACTTAAATTCAGCAGTTTTATGTTTTTGTATTTCGATTCCTTGTCCATTTCAATTCAATGAAAATTTGAGTTTCGCATTTAGATTTCCTGTTATTTAACATTCTCGCAAATCTCAATTTCCCGTCATTTACTTTTCTTGCAATCTCGATTTCTTGTCATTTATATTTGCGTTGTTTTCGATTTCTCGCTATTTACAATTAATGCAAGTTTGGGGTTCTCGCATTTTACATTTCCTCGCAATTTAATATTCCGCTTTTCGATTCGATAGTCTTAATGCTTTCGATACTTTAAATACAAAACACCAAAAACAAGCATTTTCGATATCCTGGAGTTTTCGATTCTCATACACGTTTTCGATTGAAAATCAAATTGGTAGCCTAAGTAAAAAGAGCTTACGTGGTAGAATTTTGATTAGGACCAAAACACCCTTAGAATCGAAATCGATCGAAATTCCACCGTAAACAAATTGGCGCGCCAGTAGGGGAGTCTTGTGTTGAGAAATACAAAATTGGTTAGTTCGAAATTGTATGAGATTAAGGAGTGGGAGAGTCATGAGTCGAGTTCATCAAATAACCAAGATAACAAGTGAGGGATTAAATGGGTCACACCCACCAAATACTCGGGGCAAAGTCATAATGATAACATACTCGTAATATCGACAACCGTGAGCATGTCGATACTCGTGAGTAAGTGAACAAAATTCGTGTACATTAGCAAACACCCAAGTAGGATCTAGTACTGTGATACCAAATAATATGCAAACTATAGAAAATTCCACAACTACATATGTAGGGCCACGTATGAGTGTAAGACCGCCCGGTTTTCACTTAATAATGTGAGTGGAGTGGAACTTCTTCAATGCATAGGAATTCGAGGTATACTTTAGGAATGTCCCAAACACTAGGTATGCCACAAAATTTTGGAATCCCTCCGAATTTAGGGACGTCGCAAAATTTAGTAATTCCCGTAATTCGTGGAATGGACAGTAATGTAGGCACACAATGTATACCTCCAAATCTAGATCGTAGGGGATACTTAGATCATGGGAGACATGTATTCGATAGAGACTATCATCGATCTAATTTTGATTCTATCGAAAATATGGGTACCTGAATATCTAGTAATTCATTAGGGGTACTTAGACAACAAATGGATGAGAGTAATTTTGAAATGGTGAATATGTTATCACAACAATTGACTACAGCCTTAAATCCATTAAGTGCAAAACACTACCGCTAGCTTTGAGATATTAGCAGACTAAATGTTACGAATCTGGGATGCATTGGTCGTGCCTCGACAAACGAGGATAGAAAATCATGCTAACCAAAATACTAATATTAATCCCCCATATCTATTGAGAAGAAATAGAAACAATGATCAACAAGCAGCAGTATGGGACATGAGTATCAACATGTGAGGAATGATATTTATGGGAATTTGAACGAAGGATTTCAAAATATACACAATCGAATAATATGTTGGGACAAAGGATGAATTTACAAGGGATGGAATTTAGACCACCTAATCGACATATTTTGTGTCTCCTTTCCGAATGCGATTCTCGAGACGTAATTGCCTCGAGGGTATAAAGTACCCAAATTCACTAAATTTGCTCGGAGAAGTTGGTGAATCGACTATCGAGCATGTAGCTCGATATCGATCGAATGTGGAGACCTAGCGATGAGTGAGGAATTGAAAATGAAATATTTTCCAAGTTCTTTGACTAAGAATGCTTTTACTTGGTTCACGTCATTGCCACCCAATTCGATATATAATTGGTCGCAATTGGAAAGGAATTTTCATGAACAGTTCTTTAGAGGAGAAACTCAAGTGAGTCTCATCGACTTGATGAATATAAAAAGATACAATCATGAAAGCATAGATGATTATTTGAATCGATTTAGACAAATGAAATCGAGATGTTTCACTCAAATTCCCGAATATGAATTAGTCGAATGGCCTCTCGCAGGTTTAGAATTCTCGATTAGGAAAAAACTAGTCAATTTACCATTGAATGACATGGCTCAATTAGTCGATAAAGTGAGAAGAGTAGAACAAATCGAGTATGAGAAACAAAGGTATAAGAAATATGAGAAACCTCTAAAAAAGGAAAGAATAGCATACATAAATGATGTATATGAGACATATAATATGACGTAAAATGATATTGAAGAAACTGTCGATGAGAAAGTAAACTTAGCAGTAACTCAAAGTGGGGTTCCATATACCTATAAATTGTTACAAAAGAATGAAGTAAAAGATAAAATGGCAAGTCGAACATATACTTTTGATGTAACAAAAGCAGTACAAAATCTTTGATATTTTATTGAAAGACAAACAGATTAAGTTGAGTGATGATCATAAACTGCCATCTCGCGTAACAAAGGAATGGTCGAAAATATTGCAAATTTCATAATGTTTATGGACATTGGACTAACAATTGTATACATTTCGTGAACACCATCCAAGATGCGATCGACCAAGGAAGATTGAAGTTCGAAGAAATGACAATGAAAGTTGACACGAGTCCATTCGAGGCTCAAGTAGGATACCTCGAATCCCAAACAGCATTACCGATGATGTCCGATTAACACATTCAGCCTTTGTAGGCATGGTAGATGTCATCGAAGACATCGATCCTAAGCATGTCCGGATGGATGTATCTCGAAGAAGATATGGAATTTGACCTCGAGTGAATTCGAGAAAGAGTTTGAAAAGGAAATATACCCTCGATCAGAGATTCTCTCATCGAATTTTTGAATAGAAAGAAGGAAAAAGACGAAGATGTGTCATTATGCCCACGATGCAGCACAGTTGTTCGATAACTCTACGCCAAAGCTTTCATAACGTAACGGATGAGGAAGATCGAAAACCAAAATAAAAGGAAAAATGACAAAGTAGATCAAACAGATCCGACCAATGATCGAAGAAAGTCGCAGAAATCCGTTGGCTCGGTGTTAGTGAAAATCGGAGGCAGTGGATTAGAAGAGAGATGTATCCTTCTCGAGGAGGAAGAGGTAGACTTCAAAGTAATGATGTCTTCGAAAGACTCTCGTATGATGATGGATCGACCACTAGATTCCCAACATTCCAAAGAAGATTCCGAGGAAGGCCCCGGAGAAGAGGAGGAAGGATCCCCTATTGGAATAATTACGTAAACTTTGAAGGAAATGTTGCACCAATAGAGAGTCATTATACAAGAGAATTTTTCGATGACAAGGATGATGGTACTTGGGACGAACATCAGATCGGGGTAATATCAATTTTACCTCGCGAATATGTGAGCGAATACAAAGAATATCAAGAACAAATAGATGCCGAGCGGGAAGGTGACTTCTATTCGTAAAACATAAGGCCAAAAATAACATGGGTAACACAAACCTCATGTGAAGTTCCTCATAGGGACGCCGCTTTCATCGATCCCCCATCCGAGGAAATGAGGTTCCACTTGAAACCATTATTACCGAACATCGAGATTCAAGGACAGATGGTGAATAGAGTCCTCGTCGATGGTGGAGCAAAGAAGTGAATATACCGCCAATGACTATGCTAAAGAAATTTGGTATTGAGCTAAAAGACTTAGTCAAGCACAACA